AATAGATGGTCAAGACAATGTGTTGCAAGATGCATTATTTTTTAGACTTGAAATCTTTTTTTTTTTCATATTCCTATATCTAGATGTCGAGATGATTAATTGGAGAGTTATTGAACTTCGAAAATAGCTTTTTTATAATTGATTTTTTGGGTGCACCTTAATTCTTTACTCTCGAAGTTACCATCAATTGAAATTCCAGACGAAATTTTGGATGGCTCAGATTCCTTGGCCGGGGTGAAGGGCGATAAAAGAGATATATCAAGTAAAATTTGGACGGCTGAGATTATTTGTCGGACTGAAGGACAATAAATAAAAATATTAAATAAAATTTGGACGGCTCAGATTAGACAGATACTAATTAAGGAAAATTTTGGAAGCCTCATATTCTTGTACGGAAGTGGTGGATACAATGAAGAGATACATTAAGTCAGAGTGCGGTTTGTATAGGGCCTAGGCCATAAACAATCAAATTAGAGCCTACCTTCAAATAGTGTTCAGAAATTTGGTTTCACTATTGAAAATCTTTGTGATAGCCTTATAATATATTTTCATATTTATGAATAAAGTTTAAAGCTTCAAAAATAGTGTAGATCGACAAATCTATTAAAACTTGAAAATTTTGAAAACTGACGGTCTAAAAATGTGTTACAAAATACACTATTTCCAAAACTTGAAATCAATTTTTTTCTCATGTCCATGCATCTTGATGTCTAGATGATCAATTTGAAAATATTTGGGCATCAAAACAACCTCTTCTAGTGAAATTTTTGATGTAGGCTCAAATTTGATTGTTTAGAGCCTTGGCTCTATATAAATTTTCCCCATTAAGTAATGGAAAAAGTTTATATTATGTTGCAACATGTAGAATTACAGATGCACCTCAAAAATCCACCAAAAAATATTATTTTAATAATGAAAAGCCTTTTAATTGATCATCTCGATATTGAGATATAAGAATAAAAAAAATAAGATATTGATTGCAAGAAATAGTGCATCTTGTCAATTTTTAAGATTTCCACATGTTTATAGATCTACTGGATTTTAACTATATTTTGAGTTTAACATTTTATAATTAATTATGAAAATAGGTTTGAAGATAATTTTAAGAATTTTTTATACCAAAATTACATACTATAATATTTAGAGGTGCGCTTGTTTAAGGTTGCAACCTTATAGAAACCACCCTTAAGTAAAAATTGGACCGCTCCAATTCTTGGATGGAGTGATAGTCCGATAGATAATAAAGAGTACACACTATGATCTTAGGGGGAGCACACTGTATGTTTACTCCCTTGGGCAAAAAAACTTACTTTGGGGATCTCAAATTTTAGGAACCACCTAATAATTAATAAATAATTATCCTCAAAAAATAATTTGAATTTTGAGTTCTTGAACAATTAGATCTCGCCCTCTAAGAATTAGAGGGTCTCCATTCAATCGATGTATTATTTTTTTTAGGGAATGGTATAGTGTACAAGTATCTACTTATGATACAAAAAGGTCATACTTACTCCTCACCATCAGATGCGGAATCCGATGGCTTGGGATGCATAAAACAACTCGAGAAATTTTTCTTTCAGCTTTGAGTTTAGTCAATGACACATCCTTAGCCATTCAATTATACATCGATGCCCTTGTTCTATCCTCCTTATGTCGAAACATAACCAGTTTTATCATATACTCTCCATTTTTTCCAAACACATAGAGTGTGGTTTGGAATTGTTTTAAGGAAAATGGTTTGATAGGGTTGCACCCCTATTAAATTAAGTAAAGCCTCACCTCATAACTCATTGAAATTTTTTATTCAAGCAACCTTTACATCGATTATCTCGGATTGAACATTATGTTTATAAAAAAAACTTAGGCTTTAAAGCTCTAAAAATAGTATATATTGCAACAAATTATCTAGGCCGTCCATTTCACCTTAAAAATAAGTGTTTATCAATCCGCAAGATTTGTAACATTTTTTTAGTTTCAAATTTTATTATTGGTATTAAAAATTGATTTTAGAGCCATTATGGAGATTTCGGTTGCCGAAAGTGCTTTCTAAATAAGGATTTAAGGTGAAGCTTTATTTTGTTTTCATAAAGCCTAAGCCTTAAGCCTTATAAAAACTTCATCCTTTTTTGTTGAGGTATTGAGGTTAGTCTATGGTTTGATTCTTTGAAGAGGCATATCCCTAAAATTTGTGGAACCTCCTAGATTGCGTTTTACCTGAAGGAGTAAATCCACAATATACTCCCCTATGGGTACGAAAGCTTTTCCCTAAAAAGTATATATAAAGTAATAATAAATCCATATTGGACGGCTCAAATAATTGGACGGTCGGCTCAAATTATTGGATGGAGTGAAGGATAATATGTTAAGCAAATCGGGCGTGATTGATGCATAGAATAGCTTAGTAATAAATTGAATTGCTTATATAAACATTCAATCAGAGTGGCGCAACGGAAGCGTGGTGGGCCCATAACCCACAGGTCCCAAGATCGAAACTTGGCTCTGATAAATTATATATTTTTTTTTGTAAAATATTTTATAAGCAATATAAAACAAATAACATCAACAAAAATAAATGAATAACATTTTCTAAGTAAAATATTTTATAAGCAATATAAAACAAATAACATCAACAAAAATAAATGAATAACATTTTCTAAGCAACAAAAACTGAAAATAAATAAATAAACAAATAAATTTTCTAAGCAACAAAATCCATGTTTTATAAAATATTTTACAAGCAATATAAAACGAATAACATCAACAAAAACCGGAAATGATAAATAAATGAATAACATTTTCTAAACAACAAAAACTGAAAATAAATAAATAAACGGATAACATTTTCTAAGCAACAAAATCCATGTTTTAATATCTGTAAAAGATGATTTATTGAGTCGTTAGTGTTGTATAAATGATATTTTTTTTATTTCCGATGAAATCTATACGGGTCATTATTTTCTTGTAATATATTTTTTTGCATTTTTGTGGGAAATGAAAACCTATAATTCAACACTAATTTATAATGGAAAAAAGCTTCTATTCATTGGTCGTTAGTGTTGTAGTAGATAATATATATATATATATATATATATATATATATATATATATGCAAAAAAATAAATCAATCAAAATACCCTAAAAGCATTTTAAGGATATTTTGGTCAATTCATATTTTACGAATTATTTTTTTAATATTTTTATTAAGTGCACCTTGATGAGAATAATGAACGCTTAAAATTTAAAGTGATTTAAATTTGAGAAAAAAAAAATGAAAATAAAAATACACAATGAGATCGTGACCATCAGATCGTCCAGATTCAATCTAGGTTGTTGGCTAATATTGTTATGTAAGCAGCCTGGCTAACTCTATTTTCATATATATATTTTAGTTAGAAATAAAATCTATTTTATAATAACCATGAGAAAAGCTTCTTTGGGTCGTTATTTCTGGTAATAGGTATTTATTTTTATTGAAAATAAAATATATATTTTTCACAACCATTAGACAAGCTTTATGGGGTCATTACTTTTATAGTAAATTTATATTTTTATTGGAACTGAAATCTAAAAGTTGCCCTTGTCTACAGCATATATTCTATAAATTTAAGGTTATAGCCGCATGAGAGAGAGAGTTTCTCTTCTATTATGGAGGGAGGCAAAAATTTATATAAGATATCAACCTTATATTGTAAAAAGAATCTATTAAAAAAGAGTGTTCTATAGTTGAAAAATTCTCCAATTGATCATCTTGACTTCGAGATATATACAATAAAAAGAAGAATTTTAAATCTCAAAAATAGTGTATCTTATAATGAGTTATCTAAACTATTTATTTTAAAAACAATTCAAATATTTATAGATCTACTAGATCTAAACTATTTTTAAAATTAACAATTTCATAATTAGATATAAAAAAAGGGTTATCAAGCCATCATCAAGTTTATGACATCACAGCTACTTCTAACAAAATTTGGAGATACACCTTACCTTTTTTTTTTCTTTTTTTTTTGAATGTTGCCTCATCTTTTTTTTTCTTTTTTTCTTTTTTTCCGTTTTCTCTTTGTTTGAGACCCAAATTTTGGGTAGGCAAACTTCAAGCGAGAATAAATTACAGCATTAAAGGCTAGAGAGTTTTTTTGGGTGAGTGAAAGGGCCCCTACCCTCGGTAAAAATTAATACGTAGTGTTGCAAATCATCAAGCACTATCCAATTAAGCCGCAGACAGCTCTTTTTCTAACATGAGCCGATGTTCAATGCGAGAGAGCATGAAATGTTTTTGGTAGGCAAACTGTAATTTAAAACAAAATACGAAGTTAGACTAGAGGCTTGGGTCCAATCAAAGTTCCAAGAATTAAAGCATGTGGCCGACTTGTTCACTATCAAGGTTTAAAAAAATGGATAGGTGATCAGATCGCCCACATGGATTTCTATCCAGTTTGGCTGATCGGCAATTCTGCCAAACTAGAAATTAAAAAAATTAAGGGGGCCAGCTCTGGCCATGGATCCAGACCGAACCCAGTTGGTTCGATTAAAAAAGAAAAAGTAGAGCCACTTCATATCGATTCTCTAACACTACTTTTAAACCCATCGATTTCCGATCTGATTTTTAAACCCCTCTATATCCCTACTTTTAAACCCCTTATCTAATTTTTATTTTATTTATTTATTTATTTATTAATATTTTCTCAATCACTTACTCAAACACGGTCCGAGTTGCCAATCTAGCAATCCGACACAGATTTATGACTGATGAAGAATTTGTCCCACCGTTTTGGATTTTGAAACACTGCTCTAACAGAACTAGCCGACCGGAATTGGCCGGTTTGTGAAAGAACCGGCCAATTCTCGATCTAAATCACCAATTTTTTAAACCCTAACAAAAACAAAGTCCACTCACTCAAAGCAACCGAGAGAAAATCAACCAAGTTTGTCAAATTTATGTATGTTTTTCCAAAAGAAAACTTACGAATGAAAATTTAATTCATGTCCAACCAAGAGGGGGTAACATACTTAAGTGCTCATTTAAATTGCCCATTCCATTATGAAACTCGTCTGTGAGTGAGAGAGAGACTGCACATTCAGATGCTGAAAGAGAGAGAGAAACTACACATTTAGATGGCTGAGAGAGAGAAAGACTGCACATTTAGATGGCTGATAGAAAGAGAGATTAACTGCACATTTAGATGGCTGAGAGAGAGATTAACTGCACATGTAAATGGCTCATTCCCATAAGGAACCTCTTTGCTCAGAGAGAGAGAGTAACTGCACATGTAAGTGGCTCATTCCCATAAGCAACCTCTTTGATCAGAGTGAGAGGTTAACTGCAGATTGAAATGGCTCATTCCCATTAGGAACCTCATAGCTTAGAGAAAGACGCCTGCACATAAACATATTATTCTACAGAAAATAATTTAACAGCACAGAAAGATATTCCGACATTGGCTGAGAGATAGATTTTCATAAGGCCTACTTTTAAAAATTGAAATCTGTATCAGGTTTCTTGACATTGGCAAAGAGAGAGATTGATACTTTTAAAAATTGAAATCTGTATCAGGTTTCTTGACATTGGCAAAGAGAGAGATTGATACTTTTAAAAATTGAAATCTGTATCAGGTTTCTTGACATTGGCAAAGAGAGAGATTGATACTTTTAAAAATTGAAATCTGTATCAGGTTTCTTGACATTGGCAAAGAGAGAGATTGCCGTAAGGTTTAATTGTAAAAGTCAAAATCTGTATCGGGTTTCTTGACATTGTGTATCCTTCGGTAACATGACATACCGGTTCTTGCGAACTGCATGCATCCGAGCTTCTTGACAAATCACAGCTATCTGCACACTGTCAATAAAGCATGGATTTTCAAAAGTGATTGTACACAATGAGACCATTTACTTTTGATATAAAATGGTCACAATTACTTATAACCATCTGATGTAGAATCTAATAGCTTGGGTGTGTCACAAAGTTCGAGAAAATTTTTTTGAAAGTTTGAGCTTAGTCAATGGAATAGATGTAGCCTCGTAAATTTACATCCAATGATAAAAATTAGTTGTGACCACCCGGTACCAAAGGTTAATAGTCTCGTTGTATAACTTTCCTTTTCAAAAACAAATTCCATCTGCTTTTTTCCTTGATGGATTCAATTGATACGAAGTAGTCCTAAGAGAAACAATGAATCCTATCATAAATTTAGAATTTTAAATACGAATTGTCGCCTTTTCCATGATTAAGCATCGTATACTATTAGTCTATCACAAAATGTTCCAGCGACTCAAATTCATCAGGAAATCCACTCATGATTCATCCGTTTCAAATTTTTCTCAAGTTCTTTCCCCTTTCTTTCTTATTAGAATGTCATATACTATACACTGTAGTCCCTCAATCGCAATTCCGATCTAAATGTTTTAGTTAATCCTGTATTATAAATTGGATTAAATTGAATCATGATTGATAGAATAGATTATTATGAGAGTAATCACTACAACATTTATTTATTTTATGGAGAGGTTTGTATAAGTTGCCCACCTTATACAAGAAAGACGCACCTCTACGATTTGCTCAAACATGTAGTTCCGGCATCAGAAACCTTACAATGGCTTGAAATCCATTTTCAACCTTAATTATTAAATTTAAAAATCCAAAAACATTACAGATCAAGCAGATCTATAAAAACTTAAAATCTTGAAATATATGGTCCAACTAATTTGTTACAAGATGCACTATTTTTAGGACTTGAAATTCTATTTTTTCTTAATATCCATACCTCTTTGAGATGATCAATTGAAAAGTTTTCCTACTTCGAAGCACTCTTTTTTACTAGATTTTGAGGTGCATCGTGTTGGGCTCACCCAATTAGAGCCTTCTCACACGATGCACACAGGGGAACGTGGATATGTGGGACACAAAAATATACCAAAGTCAATGTGTGTATGAGTGGGAAAAACATGCAAAAAATAATAACTTACTGACACCGAGATTTTATGTGGTTTATCTTTTCAGACTACGTCCACGGGAGAAAGAGACGAATCCACTATTAACTCAACGATTACAATAGTCTTCTAAGAAACAAATTTTCTTGTGATCATTTATTTCTTCTAGAGACTTTCTCTCTCTAGTTTTTCCCTCTCTCAAAGACTTTTTTTTTTTATAGAGGCTTTCTCTCTTCAAAAGAAAATATTTCCTTTCGCTCTTTTTTCTTCTCTTCTCAACAAAAAAAGGCTTAAAAAGAAAATCACTGGCTCTCTTTTACATTTTTCTTATCTCTAAAAAGAATGATAATTTTTTCTCTGTTCTTCTTCTCTCTCAGAAAATGATAACTTTCTCTCTCTTCTCTCTCAAAGAATGATAACTTTCTCTCTCTTCTCTCTCAGAGAATGATAACTTTCTTTCTCTTCTTTTTCTTATTCTTCTCTGCAAAAGAAGGATTAATGTATTTTTCAATATACCAAGAAGAGCCCACACAAAGAAATGGCCCAAGAGAGATGCACGTCAAAAAATGGCCAAAGAGATGTGACTTTAGGTAAAACCCCAAAAGTAAAACACAACCCACCCTGAGGGCCTTTTATGATGTATTCTCTCTCTAGAATAGATATGGTGAAATCTTTAAACACCATATTTATCCGTATTTCATCTCATGTGATAACCATATGAAGAGATCACTTTAGAGAAATCAACAACCTCCTACGTTTTTGCCTTTGTATGAGTCAATGGGATAATGACAATTATGGAAAGAATATCTTATAAGTTCCTAAAAGGTAGTTCATCTCTATCTCTTTTCAGCTAAGAGATAAGATGATTTCTCTACCTATATCTATCAATCACGTGAGACTTCTCATTTTCATGGGATAATCACTTGGTTAATAAGTCATCATTTTTTTACTTTCTAAAATTGTCTTTTTCTAGTTAGGCAATTTTTATTGGTGGCCCTTCCTCATAAGATGAAGGCCAAACAATTTCCCCCTCTAATCTTAGGAGGGAGGTTTCCCTTTGCAGGTGCTCAAATGCCACCCATGTCAGCCATGCTTCTTCATCACTCTTGTTGTCTTTGGCCAAGGTGACATTATATTCTACAAACTCCTGTTGGTAAGGATTTTCCCTAGTTGCAACAGTTTTTCACTCTTCTGCAGCTTAGAACGTCATACAACAACTCCCCTACAAAAGTAATCAATTATCTCGATATTGATTTCTTGGAGTCCAATTCTCCAACCATGTCTTCATCTGTGTACCATTGTAACACAGGTTTACCTCCCCCAAAGTATAAACACACTTTGGATATTCCTCCAAGATATCTAAATATCCAATTTATTATTGCTCAGTGTTCCTTGTCAAGATTAGCAATGAGTCTGCTCACCACGCTTCCGCTGCATGTGTTTCCTACGGCTGACCCATAAGGATCTTCTTATCTATCTTCCTTCTTCCTCTTGGTTGAAGGGATCTTCTGACTTGCCTTTCGGCAACTTTACCAAGTCATAGGTGTGATTCTTATGCAAGGGTATATCTCATCTTGCATAGCTTTAAGCCACATCCCTTTGTGTTTGTCAACCTAACTTCCTGGTAGATTTTTGTTCCACCCCTTTCAGTGTATAGGACATACTCTAATGCGGGGTAGGTGGTAGAGGGTTTATGTCCCCTAGAGGACCTTCTCAGTTCAACTTTAAGAGGAGACACTTATTGAATATGCTACTCCCCATGTTCCCCGAAACTGGTATATCAACTCTTTTGACCCATCCTCTTGTTTCACTTCTCCCCTGTCTTCATTTACTGCGGTGGGAGGAACTATGACCAGTTCTAAACCATTAAAGATTCGTGGCGTTACGCCTTCTTCACGTTTTCAATAGTAAGGTCTTCCTGAAAGACCATATCCATACCCCGATCACCTTCCTGTTCTCAGGATCGCATAGCCTATAGCAGAACTCTTCATCTGAGTACCCTAAGAAGATGTATAGGAGTGCTTTCTCATTTAACTTTGATCTTTGTTCTTTGGGCATGTGTACCAATGCCTCAAACACCATCAAGTGTGAATAAGAGATGTCCTTTATGGTCCAAACTCAATCTGGGATCTAACCATCTAGAGGAAACAACAGAGAACGATATTAGGTAGCATGTTGTGAGGACTGTTTCTCCCCAATACGGCTTGACGGTGGATAACATGCTCCTAACTCTGAGATACTTTAGCAGCTTGTGTATCTCCCTTTCTACCTTAGCGTGGAAATCTTGAAAGACCTCAAACACCTGATCTTTTGATTTCACCCATACCTTTCATGAAGCATCATCAATGAAGGTGACGAGGTATGATGCGCCACAGAACGACTTGACATCCATGGGACCACACACATCTGAATCCACCAGATCCGAGATTTCCTTAAAGTCCTTACTGGAGAAAGAGATTCAATGTTGTTTGCCTAGAAAATAGTGGTAACATGGGGTTAAAGATACATACATCTCTCTTACCCACAGTCTTTGAGGAACCGCTGTTCCCCATCTTCACAGAGCCAAAATCTAACGCTCTGTAAGAAGCAAAATAGCATCTCTATGGAGTAACATGAAACGATGCTCCAGTACACAAGACGTAATACTAATGCACCCTTCACCATTGTTGGGTGTCCCATCCCATGAGGGAGGGACACTAATAAAAATTGCGTAAGTAGAAAATGGCAAGTTTGGAAAAAAAAAAAAAATTTATTGACCAAGTAATTATCCCACGAAAATGGAAAATCTCACGTAATTGATATGGGTAGAGATATCCTCTTATCTCTTAGTTGAAAAGAGATAGAGATGAGCCACCTTTAGGAGGTTATGGGATATTCATTATAAAATTGTCATTATCTCATTGACCAATACAAACGTAAAAACGTAGGAGGTTGTTGACTTCTCTAAAGTGATATCCTCATATGGCCCCCACATGATATGAGATAAGGATATATATGGTGGTTAAATATTCCAATCTATCTATTCTAGAGAGATAAAACACATCATAAAAGGCCCTCATGTGGGTGGATTGTATTTTCCTCTTGGGGCTTTAACCACAACCACCTCTCTTGGGCCATTTTTAGGTATGCATCTCTCTTGGGTCATTTCTTTGGGCGGATGTTTCTTTTTAGTGCATTGAAAAATACAAGAAGCCTTCATTTGAAGAGAAAAATAAGAAAAAAGATAAAGTTATCATTCTCTTAGAAAGAAGAAGAGAGAGAGTTATCCTTCTCTGATAGAAAAGAAGAGGATAAAAAACTATCCTTCTTCTTTAAGAAAAGAAGAAGATGAAAGAGAGTTAGTGATCATCTTCCTAATCCTTTTCTTTGTTGAGAGAAAAAAGAGAAAACATTTTCTTTTAGAGAGAGAAAGCCTCTAAATAGAAAAGAAGTCTCTGAGAGAGAGAAGAACCTTAGAGAAAGAAAATCTCTTTTTTAGAGATCAGTGATCCCTAAAAAGTTCGTTTTTGAAAGGCTATTGTAACCGTCGAGTTAATAATAGATTCATTTCTTTCTCCCGTGGACATAGCCTGAAGTTCAGATATTCTATCACTAAATACCATCATTTTATCACTCTCTACTTCTTTGGTTAAGAATAACAATCTCTCCACTCTCCACCCTCTCAGTGTTAAAAAATGCGGACCGCCCAACGCCTAGGCGGTCCAAAAGGCCTGGGCCCATCGCCCAAGCCTAGGCGGTAGTCCTTGGGTGGCCGCCTAGGTGGTACGGAACCTTGTAACTTTGAAATTTGACAAAATAGCTTCTTCCTTTTTTTAATAATAGTTCAAAAGGATTCCTGGTGCATTTCATACAATTGCTCTTCATTGTACTAAATGAAGTGCAATGCTCAAGCATATTTTTGTCGGGAAAGAGTCCTCTACGTTTTGAGCACACTTTTGTTGACTTTGAAAAGTTTTAAAAGGAAGCATAGCATATCATAGTTGAGTTCTGCATTTAAAAGCTAGCAATAGCATTTACAGAAAATCCTCTTGACATGTTTTTATCATTCCCTAATAGCTATAGATTTTGAAAAAGGGTCAAAAATATTTGGCACCAGAAAAAATGAGATATCCATGAAAGTTTGTAAAACTGTAAGATTTTGAACAGGCAAGAGTATTAAATTCTGTCCTGGTGCAGACTCCAAATTCCAAACTTTTAAAATAAATAGACCCTCATAATATTAAACACGATCACCCAAAGCCCTAACTGCATTCATACGCCCAAAAAATACATACATAAATACAAGCAAGTACCCCAAAAACCTGGTCATTATATAGCAGAAATAAGTTGCAAACTTCAAAGAAATATCATGTTCCCATCAAAAATGTTAAATATCAGTCATAGTACAAGCATTTAAAAAATCTAAAAATAAAATAAAAGAAAAATAAACAAAGCATATTACCAGAAAAGCTCGGCACGGAATATTGAAGCACCCAACATAAATAGGATTGGAGCGGTACCATGTCAATGACAGGATGGAGTAAAATCGAATATATGCCAAAATAACAGGTCCTTGCAAAACATTGGCCAGATATTACCTTCTGGAGAAAAGGAGGGGAAGGGGGGGGGGGGGGGTTGTTTCAAATTTGATGCCATTTGGTTCATATAGAGGTGATAGCAACATGATATTCATGAAAGCCTATGCCTATTGCTTATGATACAAGGATGAACAAAGGTCTCGATGATTTTGTAGGCTAACATATGCAGATAATTGCACAAGCTTAGAATACCAGTGATGACAAAATACAATATTGATACAGATACCAGATAGTTGCAAAAAAAGGCTCCAATCAAAACTCACCCATGAAAATCCTATAGAAGCTCCAAGGAAGACTTATATCCAATGATTTCCTGCCACAACTCATTTGCATCTCAACATTTAGTTAAGTACAGCAAGCATTTGCAGCCCTCTTGGATTTCATCTTATTCAACCCAAACCTTTGAGCCTGTGACCCTAGAAAATCTAGCAAGTACCTTCTCTCCAAACCCTAGGTTTTTCTCCATTGGAGAGAGACTTCTGTTTTTTGAAATCTCTAGAGGAAAACCTAGAACAAGGTTTCTTGTTAAGTTTCATAACGGATACCTGATCTATCGCCAACTTCCAAGTTACTCTCCCATGAACTTTTTATCCAGAATATAGTCACCTTTAAAATTCTTCAGAAGCCCAAAACAGTCTATAGTGAGTTCTTTAAATACACGCTTTGGTTAGGAATCAGAAAAAAATACTTGGCTTAGAAATTCCATTCAAAAAACTTCAAGATTTTCTACTCTATATTTTCTATAATATTCTGGAACTGTTTAGAAGTTTATGCATAAACAAAACCTTTTTATTGATGGCATAAAATGAACTTTTGGGTTTTCCAAAATACCCAAGCTCGTACAAAAGTTTCTTATCCCCTGTATATCCAATTTAAGAAACATGTTCCCAATCCCTAAGTTTCTAAATTATCCATTTCAGAAATTCTTCCAGAATTCCTTGTTCCCAAATTTTCTTGTAACTTTAAAAATTTCCAAGTAATCTCCATGTGTTTCTTACTTAATTATGACATGATTGATTCAAATTTAGACCATATATGTACCAATGAACTCTGAGCAAACTCCATTAAAACGCATTTTTTAAGGGTACTCCAATTTTTTAATAAACATTTTATAATGCATGTCTTCCAAAATGCCTTAAATTTCCCTTGCTCATTGTTTTATCCCTTTGTAATGTCTAACTGGATATAACATCCTTTGAGCACCAACATAGTTGCATGAAGGTCAATGTGTTTACCACTCATTCCCCGACATGCATAAACTAAATACACACATATATACCCTTTTCTCAACTCCGTTCTTCTAGCCAACTCCAAATTAATCATATTCTTTTCCTAGACAATTTTATGACATTAGCCTTTTATTGACTCATTCTTTTGACCCTGCCTTTTTTTAACAGAGTTAATACAGTTGTCCTTGCTGTGGATACATTGTCATCACACATATTTCTAATTGTGTCCCAATCACATCCCTACACCCAACATCTAAGCAAGAGCTGCAAGACTACATATGTCAGAATCACCAACCCTTAGATACAGCACAAAGACTAACATCTAACAAACAATCACAAAGATAACATCTAATTGACAAAAGAAGCTGTGACTCAACTTATAACATTGCTTATGCAAGGAGATCTAATATTTCTTCCTTCCTAGACTTATCTTATGGATGGTTCCCTGGCCCTTCTCATAAGACCAGTGTAATTTAGAGGTTTTTCCCTTTAGCATTCTTTTGACATGTATCATGGCAGAAGAGAACCAAAATCATCATAGAAGTGAGGTAACACAGTGCTTAATCAAGACTAAGTATCCACCGTCTCATGAAAACTTGTTCAAGTTGCGGAGTTAACAATTTACAGGGAAAGAAAAAACACAACAAGATGTGAAACGATGTACCACACATGCACGTGTTGTTAGGAATTTTCACGGGGCAGTCTAGGTGAGGTGCCTTCCAGCAACGTGATCTCCAGGCTGCACCCAGGTACCCCCACCAAAACGTGGACTACATTTGACTATTACAATTTCAAAGGAGGAGGAAGATGGCACTATGTAAAATGTTTGACATCTACTATTTCAAAGGAGGAAGATGGCACCAAATGAATTTATAAAACCTATAAAGTTAAGCTTAACTTCGATGGAACTACCTTATAAAGTCATAATGAGGGGGGGACTAGTTTTTGTAGGCCAGCCTTAGACCTCGAGGATTTCTAACTCCACCAGCATAAAAAGTAAAAGATATCTTGATTGCAATGTAATTCTTTTTTGAGCATTAGTCTAAACCTCTATCAGTGGAGGGAGGTAAATGAATGCTAATAAATGGAAAATGCAGGAGAGAGAAGCAACATGAAGGATTTTTGGAGATTTATGATATTAGTAATCCATCCAACAACTCCATCATAGCCCAAGAGATGTCAATCGCATCTCTATCCCTGGCTAGAGGGGAACTTAAACTAGGATCTAAATATTGCAAACATTTACTCTTCCCTAAATATCATAGTGCATGAACCGTACTCATACCCTTGTATTTATACCGCTTTTTAATTGAATAAGAGTTACATTTACTCTGTTTAAAGGTACACAAAAGCAAGTGAAAAGAAAAAGGCAATTAGTGAAGCAAAAGGGGAAATCTCAATGATCAAGTATCATCCACACATACACAAAACCATAAATTAAAGAGAAAGGTTAGCCTAAGGCTGTGGCTAAAATCCAGCAAGAATCGCAGTTCTGGCACCCAAAAAGCATCAAACCTATCACTTCGACTTCACATTCATGTATAAAAAATGGATTTCAATCCCTAAAAATACCATTCTTGTAACACATTATCTAGCTTGTCCATTTTTAAGGTAGAATTGCCAAATCTGCACCATCCATGGAGCTACAAATTTCATAATTAAGGGCAGAAATTGATTCCCAAGCCATCCTAAAGGTTTCCGGCAGGAACCTGAATCACAATTACATTCTAATGCTAAGACATTGGCCATCATCACTACGAGCTTGATTTGAGCATTAAAGTGAAAATCTAAAAACCAACAAAAAACAAAAATGAAAAGAAATAAAAAATAAAAACCATTAGCGCTACAAACCGTGTTCCTTACCAAATTTACACAATATGCTCATGATGTGCTTTTAATTGAGTAAAATTATTTCTTATCTTAGAAAGAACTGAAAACTCTTGAAGTCAATATACATAATAAACATGATCTAAACTAACAAATTAATACAATGCAGCCCTAGAATTCAGAATACACAAATAACAAAGGAACATTAATCCTAAACAATACAAACCTTGCAATTCAACACATAAACATAAGTAACAATAACTATTTCCCAACAAGAAAAGCAAATACAGGCCATGGAATTCATCGCATCGATAATAAACAACCAATCTATTCCTCACAAGTAAATATCCAAATGCTAGGGCTCAAATACGCACAATAATTAAAAAATTAAAGACAAAACACTCACATTATACGTGACATCCGGCTTCTCAGACTGCCCTAGATGAGAGATACTAGAAACGGCCTCCGGAGGAAGAACGTCAACGAGCGCATTCGAGTGCCGATGCAAAGCCACGGAGGCCGAAGGCTTCAAAAGCTCACGATTAATAGTGCTCAATATCCTCACATGGTAAACTCGAACCTGTAGTCGATCCGACGATCCAATTTTTCTGGTCCACCATCTCCATGAACTGGCCTATAACCAAGGGCACAGACTGTATCCTCTTGACCTCTTCCTGAGCCCTCAGGAGCTACCTTTTGAGGTTCTTCTGCTCATCTTTCACGCACTCCTCTTGAATGTCGATGAATTCAAGCTGGCGTTGCAGAGATTTGAGGCGAGAGTAGAGATCGTATTCCTCTGAATCAGAGGGTTGGGAATTAGCGGGGAAGATGAGAGGAGGGCCGGAGTCTAGGGTTTTGAGCCCGCCATTGGTGAAAACTGAAAACACAGTAGTACGAGAAAATGGCTGGTTTCTTTTTGAATGGGGAAGTTGTTCTTGATAAATAAATGGAGGTTATTCAATAATAATTCTCTCAAATAAGTGAGGAAATTGTTTTAAAAAACGAGAAACATCTCGACATCGACATGTATAAATATACACGAAAAAAAAAAAAAAAGATTTTGCTAGTGCATCTCTACGTTTTCAATATCTCTATATTTTTAATATTTTCATTTGTGTATAGATTTACTTAAATTTTAACTATTTTTAAAGTTTAAAATTTTATAATTAAATATAAAAATAGATTTTTAAATAATCTTAATAAATTTTACACGAATATTATATGTTACGATAAACTGTGGAGGTTCTTATTGGATGGTTTAAGGTTCAACCTAAACCGCACCGCCGAGGTCCTAAACAAACAAAGTAAGGCAAACTTCCAAATAGTATCACAAGGTGTTGTTTCATTAATGGAAATCTTTGTGATGCCTTAAAAAGTTGTTTTCATCTTTGGTTATAAAATTTAGAGTTTCAAAAATAATGTAGATCAAGCATATCTATGAATGCTTAAAAATCTAAAAAATTGACGGTCCAAAAAATGTATTACAAGATGCACTATTTCAAAGACTTGAAAATCCATACTTTTTCATGTCCATACATCTTGAGGCTGATATGATCTATTTCAGTATTTTTAAGCATCGAAACAACTTTTTTTAGTGAAATTTTTAGTGTGCTTTAATTTGATTGTTTAGGCCCTCTTACTTATATAAACTTTTTCCATATTTAATAAGTTTTTGCCAAATTTTCCATCAAATCCAATAACAATGTTTGCTCCGTTGTTGATAAACAAATTATACATTAGATTGATTGAGAGGGAATAAAATGAAACAATAACAATAAAACTAATCTGAATTATATTGACAAATATCAAGGGCTTCAAAATAATTATGGTTAAAAAAATACTCTCAGAATAGGATTATAATTAATGAAAACATGAAAATGGAAAATTTTGAAATGGTGGTCCATCCAAATTGTTGTGTTGTATACACTAATAAAATCACACCGGTGAAATCACACGACATTTTAAAATAAGTGATTTTGAGTTCGTAAAGGCCTAAATCTTGAAATTTACTAAATAGATGGTCTAGATTCATTGTTGGTAGGGAACCCACTTGCTTAAATCATTAGTTGACATTTAATCTCTCTTGCCCTTTATAATGAGAGAATAATATTTTAGCACAACTTGGCCTATTATTTTGACATTTGAAGCTGCTTTGGTAGATTATTTTTCACATATATGGTTGGTTTGCAAGGTTCTAGTTTTCATAAATGTCCAAATAGCGTAGAGTAATATTAGAGAGAGGTTAGTTTTTTTTTTTTTTTTGGGTAATTCAACAAGGGAATCACATGTTTAGAGAAAGATATTAGCCTCTTTTTTTTGGGGGGCAAGGGCTAGGGCTGGGGCAGGGGCGGGGGGTGGGGGCGCTTAATTTAGTTAGTTTTTTTCAAATAATTAGGAGCTAGTTTATTAAAGATGTTAGTGATGCGGTGTCAGTAAGAATGAAAACCACAATGTAGTATAATGTGTGTTGTGTGGTGGGGGAGGGGGACCCAACCCCTTTCTTATCAAAGATTTACGTTGGGATGCTGACTCATTTTGGTAAAGAGAAAATTACATGTATATCATCCTCATAATGTATTACGTTTGGGATTATATACAATGATACCATTTATCTTTAATATAAGAAAGTCGTAATTACTAACAACCATCGGGTGTAAAATTTGATAGCTTGGATGTGTCACAAAGTTCAATAAAATTTATTTTGAAATTGAAGCTTGGTCATGGAATAAATGCAACCATCTAATTTCACATCCTATGGTCAAGATTAATTGTGATCATCTTATACCAAGCGTGCATAGTCTCATTGTATACTTTTCTTTTATGTTATTCTAAATTTAACTAAACTTTTTCTCATATTACATTTATACCCTTTATTTCATTTTTTTAAATAGTTATTATGCCCATATTTCAGGTATTTAAGATTCAAAATTTGACAATTGTATTATTATATAATTGTTTTTAAAAATTTTAAATATTGAAAATCCAAAAATTATTCTAAAATCCTCGATCCCATATCAAATGTTGAGCTCAAAATATTTTCGGATTTTCAATATTTTAAATTTAATTTTTTTTTTGGGAATTTCAAAAACATTTATTGGGGATGCCCCAAAATATTTTCGGATTTTCTTTTGGGAATGCCTAAAATTTTTCGGATTCTCTTTTGGGGATGCTTAAAATTGGGTAATTTTAGAAAGTAAAAAAAAAAAAGAAAATGTTTGTATGAATGTAAATTTTAAAATTTCGCGGGAACGTTTTAATAACGGAAAACATGGCAATTTAGTAACTTGTGAAATGAACGTTAAAAACCTGTGCACCCGTGATCAATTTTGCACGCATTCCATTAGAAAATAGAATTCTAGAGAGAGAGGGTGGGATGATTAGATTTTAGAGAGAGAGAGTGGGCGATTAGACTCCAACACTATTTATCATATACACGAATTAGAGTACTCCTTTAGAAAAAAAATTAAATTTTTTGTAGTTCTTCTTATGATAAATTTGCTTAATACGTTGATGGCTTTTATTTATCTTTCTAGAAGTTTTTAGATTCTTTAATTCATGTGTTTGAATTTTGAATTCTTAGTTCTAAAAATTATTAGTTTTTATTGAATTTAAAATAGTGTCATATATTCAAGAATGGATGGGTTCAGAGTTTTAATTGCCTTTTAATTTCCATCAATTACTAAAAATCACTATTTGTTCATTGTAAATAATAGTACATCCCCCTCATGTAATATGAATTGAATAAAATCTCTCTCTCTCTCACTCAGATACACACATTTGAATTAAATTAGATAAAGTTGTATTAGTTAATAGAATCATAAATTAAATTAGATAATGTTGTATTAGTTAATAAAATCAGGTTTGTTATAAGAGTAAGGATCCTATGAAACCTTCCTACACCTATGTATGTATGACCTCAAAGGATCGCCATTAAATTTGATATAAATCTCTAGAAAAGTTATTACATGGGTATAGGATTTGATTTTTTTAGATATTCGTGTCAAATTTAATGAATATAATTTGAAGTCCTATACACATGGGTGAAATAATGTCCTAATAGGATCATTTCTCTTGTTATGATGAGATCACAACTCATTTTATGTGGGGCAAAATTGTAATTTCCGTCCAAGACCCTATAGAATAATTAATAATGGAAAATTTGTGAGAAAATATTAACAAAAGTTTTTAGAAAGATATCAAATGAATCTTATGCTTTGACCCTAGCTCAGACACCCATAATCGAAATTCATATTGTTTTATAGTAAAAAAAATTTTGCTAATTTACTAATTTAATAATTTATTATTGTGGTATTAGGTAAAATTTCATATTTATTAATATTACTGTGGGTGAAAAGTTAATTAATAGTGTATTCAATTATGCACTTAATTCTTTTGGCCCCCTCCGGGCTTCCTCAAACTCTCATGCTCTTTTGAGTTCTACCCATTTTGGCCCTCATATATTTAAGCAATGACTATACTACCTTTCAAAAATACCCAAATTTACCCCCAAGGGTGTGTTTTGTATAAGGTTGAAGCCCTAAACAATCAAAGTGAGGCACACCTTCAGATAGTGTTAAAAGATGTTTCAATACTGAAAATGTTTGAAATGGCTTTAAAATTTATTTTCATGTTAAGCAGATAACATTGAAAACTTTTAAAATTGACAACCTAAAAAATGCATAACAAGATGCACTATTTTCAAAACTTGAAATCTCTATTTTCTTATTTCCATAGATCTTGAGGATTCTTGGAAATATTTGAGGTACGTCTTCATTGGATTCTTTAAGACCTCATCCTTATATATATTTTTTCCTTATGTTTAAACAAGGATGCAGTTGGCATACGGATGCATCGTAGCTGTAGAGGTAATTTGCACCTTCAAATTTTATCATGGAATATAATTTTGATGTAAAATGTTCTTAGGATTATCTCAAAATCTATTTTTATATCCAATTATAAAATTTAAAATTTTAAAAATAGTTAAAATCAAGTAGATCTATAAACATATGAAAATCTTAAAAATGGACGGTGTAGATACATATTGTGAAATGCACTATTTTTTAGACTGAAAATCTTTTTATTTTTCATGGTCATACATCTCGATGTCGAGATGATCAATCAAAGGGTTTTTCAACATTAAAACTACCTTTTCCAATAGATTTTTAAGGTGCATTCGTAGTTCTCCATTATAAGGTTGCATCTTTATATAAACTTTTCAAAAAAAAAAAACAAACTTTCTACCTTGTGAAGTGACCAGTATTGGAATTTATTAAGGGTATTTTGGTCCATAGCAACTGATAGAGTGAGTCTTCGTAATGCCATTGTAAAGGAAAATATATATTGTTTCCTTTCATCTGTCTTGCAAGAAGAGGGATAAGTCTAAGTATTTTAGTTTTTCTAGGATTTGTTTCAGAAAGGATATTAATTATTATTATTTTTTATTTTTATTTTTAAAAAAAACTTTGAGGATATTAATTAATCTTACTCAAAAACTGTAAATACCATTATTCAACAAGCTGTTTCTTGGCTTTTCAAAAGACTCAGAGAACCATTATCCAGAGTTATTCATTAGTAGAACTAATTTCACTTGTTGAATTGAGCCCTGGGAAAACAGGTAGAATAAAGCTCTCGGCTTTTTGGCTCTTCATTTTTTTTGCCTTTTTCTTTATGTTTATTGGGTTTTTTGGTTTATATTCTAATTGCTTTTTTTTGTTTATATTCTATTTGCTGTTTATATTCTATTTGCTTTCTTTCTTTTTGGTCTTCTTATAGGCTGATGAGTGCTGAAAGTTATTCTTTTGTTATTTATGGCTTCATTGTTACTGAAAGATGGCAGAAAACAGTTTGTGCTGAACTTTTCTGATAAATTTGCAGGTTCTGGGAATATGAATTCTTGAGATTTCCTTTTCTTGAAAGAGGATACAAAACACGAAATTGAAGCTGATCACCAGCTCAAGGACGAGTGGTATGTTCAAGTTCTGTGGTTTCTGATTCTGAGTGTATGTTTTCTTTCTTTTTTTGAGGTTTTGACTTCTGATATTGACTGATAAAAATAATGGAAACTCATCTTTATTCTTTGCTTCTTCATTTTCACTTAAAAAATGCTGAAAAAAACAGTTTATTTTGAGCTTAAATTCTTATGGAATTGTTGGTTCTGAATTTTACTGATATTTTCTTGAAAGAATGTTAGAAAACAAGACATTAAGATTAGTTATGACTGATTGTCTAAAAAATTCATTTTTTTTTGCTTCTTTTGCTTTGTTTTATTTGTTTGCAAATAAGTTGAAGTTTAAACCAGGTTCATGTTCAAGGAATCATTACAATGTTTTTTTAATAGCATTGCTAGTCTCCTTAATAATTAACTATTTGAAAAAAATATTGATGAAAATGCTTGGTTTTCTCCATGAAAGTGGGATGTGTTGAATTATAGTCTTTTTTCTTCTTCATTTTCCTGCAACTTATGGGGTATTTTTCCTTGGTTTTGCTCTTTATATTCTGCCTTACTGCAAAAAAAATTTCTCATCTTCTTGCTTAGTTTCTACAAACAAAAAAACTGCCAAAATTCCGAGTTAATACTTAATACTATTAAAAACAAGTGTTTGACCTTTGATCTTGTAGGGTATTTTCTTGTACTAATTGTTTATTATGAGGAAATTTCTATTATTAAGATTCTATGGTTTTTTGGTCTTTGATAATATGGATTGTTCTCTTGAGCTTTTCTTCCCCAAAAACTCAAAATCACATGCCATTCATGTGGGAATTATTTGATTTCTTTTATCAGGCATTAAATATTAGTTTTCTTTTTTTCGGTTTTGCTAGAACGCTATGCTTAAGGACAAAAATTGTTTAATTTTTTATGGGTTTTGTTGGTTCCAGTACTTTTACTAGGTTCTTTTATGTTTCAAGAGTTCTTGTGATAATATTTAGATGTTATGAAAAATGCAAATAACTATTACCAAATCGAGAATGGGGAGACTTGCATAATGAGTAATGTTGAATAAGAGGTCAGGGGTTTTGCGGTTTCTAGCTGTTTTGCTAATATATTGAAATCTTTTTCTTGTGAGAAAAATAGGAGTCAAGAACAAACTGTAGACATAGGAAATTTGTTTCCTTTCAGGCTTTATGTTCTGAATTTCCCTGTTCTAATCGATTCTGTGGCTTCAAGAGCCACAGTTTCATTTGATAAATTGTTGAAATATCCTCTGAAAAATAAGGAAAAGGGATTTCGCAATATATATCGCTATCAAATTTCTCGGGAAGATATCATATCAGTATCAAACTCACAGGTATTACTGGATTTCTCTTTTACAGGGACATCTTCTTATTGATAGAGCTAGAGTTTGAGGAAGCTGAAGCATTGATTGAATGCTGCAGCTGATTAGCTCGAATGAAGTCTGTTTGGGGCTTATCCAAGCTTACGGCCCTAAGCTTTTTAATTCTCGCTCTATCAATTAGTTCTGAAGTTCAAGCACGTAACTATGTTTATGAAGGTCAACAATCAGTTATGAGCTCAAGACATTTAGACTCCCTTCTTCAGGATAATGCCTATAAAGCCTTAAACCCACCACTTACTGGTGTTGTTTATGAAGCACCAGTTCCCTCAAATATGACTGGCATAGCACTTGGAGTTGTGAGGCTCAGGAGTGGGAGCCTAAGGAGGAGAGGCTACAAATATAGAGATTTTTCTATCCCTCCAGGAGTTGTCGAGAAGCCGTATGTGAAGAGGATAGCACTGGTTTTTCAAAATCTTGGCCATTGGTCTTCATCTTACTATGATGTGGTGGGCTATTCTTTTGTCACCCCTGTTCTGGGTCTTCTTGCTTACAATGCTTCCGATCTCTTGGCGACTAATCTACCGGAGCTTGATTTACGAGCGAGCATCAAACCCATTTCGATCGAGTTCAGCATGGTGAGAGTGCCTGAGGGAGCCAAGCCCAAGTGTGCCCAATTCCAATTGAACGGGACAATTACGCTTAATGATTTGATTGCGCCTAATGTTTGCTATACTTCAACTCTAGGCCACTTCGCTGTGATTTATGAATCGAAAGCTCCATCTCCATCTCCATCTCCATCTCCATGTCCATGTCCTGAACCAAGTCCTAATAAAGATAATTCAAGAGTGTGGCAAATTGTACTTGGTTCAGTGGTTGCAGGGGTGGGTGTATTGGGTTTGTTGGGTCTAATGGCATATGGGTGGTTGCAAAATAGAAAGAAATTGAATGTGGTTGCTATGGAAAAGCAGGCCGATGAAGGCGAGAATTTGCGCATCAAGGTGATGGGGAGTACAAAAGCGCCGGTGGCTGCTGAGACCCGAACACGGCCGGCTTTGGAAAATGAGCATTTTCTGTGGAATTGTTGATGCATTTTCTTGAGGTTCTTTATGTATTTCATTTGTTGAATTGTTTGATGGCCCTTGTTTATAAGTTTTTGTGGATATTTGTTGATTTATTCTTTTTGAGAGATTTTAGCTGGGTTTTATTGTAGATCTGAACTGGTTAATGTTGTGAATTCTCCCTTTCTGTAATATAAGAACTAATGGAATTCCTGTATAATACATTTTTTTATGTTATTTTGTTGGTTTCAAAAATTGTAATTGACCGTTACATATCTTCTATGTTTGAGAACTGTACTTACCTTGTATTGAAATGTTTGTCCTTTTATGACTTCATGGTGTTCCTACCCTTTCTATGTTGTATTTATTAAGTGAATGCAAATTGGGTATTGCTGTATTGGACTGTATTAAAAAAAAAAAAATGGAAGATAAATTTTATAGTTTTGGAAATGATTGAAACATAAAAAGATTCAGCAATAAATTTAGGAATAATAAGGAATCGCTTCGGTCAAGGCGGTAGCAGCTGGGTTTTTATAGCACTACCATCTCAAGTTCCATTCCTACGCAACCTTGTCAAAAAAATTAAAATAAAATAGAATAAAATAAGTAAATTTAGAAATAATAAGGGAAAGAATATCACATACACCTGATTAAAATCTGTTTTCAGTTCCCCATGGTGGCTGGTGAAGATCAATCATGGATGTTGCAGATTTGTTCATGATCTCAGGCATTACTGGACATCACTTCACTCCTTAAATTACTGCTCCAAAATAAGATAATTTTGGGAATAATTATTTATGGGCATGATTTATCTAGGGCGTCAATCTAAAAACATAATGGGCACCTCCAAACCCCGTCAAACGATGCAGCTCCAATGTCACAAACCCTCGAAAGATGCACCAACACCGGAAAGCTCTATGATGGCTTGAAAATCTATTTCTATCATTAATTATGAAATTTAAAGCTCCCAAAATGGTGCACATAAGAATAAGCTTAGCATTAGGAGTGGGTTCAAAGCTAGGTGATCAAGGTGGCGAGGCACCACAACGTAATATCTTGAATTTCATTCCTACCATGAGTAGAGCCTCCTTCAATGTTAATTTTCCAAAAGCAATATAGCGCACAACGAGCATATTTATGAACACTTGAAACATTGAAAATGCACGGTCCAAATAAAGTGTTATAAGATGCTTTGTTTTAAAACTTGAAGTAAATCTCTCTCACTCACACACACATATATATATATATGATTAATTTGAGGGTTTCCAACTTCAGAACAACCTTTAGATTTTGAAGTGCGTCTTACTTTTACAATATAAATTATAAATTTGACACCTTCTATCACCTTTTGCCAGGGGGAAAATTCTGCTTTGGAAGTAATTCAAGACACAAAATTGATGATTTTTTATGAGTATAGAAGCAAGTAATTCAAGCCATGATGAATTTCGACGTGTTTAAACCACACATTGAATTTCATATCACCCCAAATTAAGGGAATAAAAAATATGGGGTGCAGTTCTCAAAGGTCTGCCTTTTTCAAAGTAAAACACATTTAATTTTTTATTATCATACATGTAATTGGGATCTCAGTTATACATAGGCTAAACGCTAAGTAATGGGCCTTATTATAATAGGGAAAGCTTTCTATGTTACCCCACCCATATATGTAGGATGTGCTCTTGATCTCAGTTGTCAGATTTTATTAGATGGTCGAGATGGTTTGAGCCATAATGTCACAAGTTGGCTTTTAATCGTCAAATCTAGATCCGATGGCTCAAAGTTTTTTATTTTTAACTTTTATTCTATAAATAAATTTGAGGCCACATTTGGAGTATTTATAGAATACTTGAAATCCATTTTTATTCTATAAATAAATTTGTAAATTTTTTTGGTGTATTTATAAAATACCCCAAATTTCAAGTAAAATATTCTATAAATATTTTTGAAAATAGTAAAGATGATCTATTTGAGAATTTTAGGACATCGAAATAACTTCTTTTAATGAAATTTTGATGTGCACCTTAATTTGATTGTTTAGGGCCTCACCCTTATATAAACTTTTTCCTTTAAAGTTTACATGTGATGAGTCTCCATAATGGATGAGTTTTCTGTAAGGCTGCGGCTTTATACAACCGCACTTCAAAACCCTGACGAAAAACTCAAATTTAGAATTATATAATAGCTCATCAACCCTAAAATTTCATTTTTGCCCATTATTGTAGAATTTGGAGCTTCAAATTTGTTTTGGATCTATTGATCTATGAGAACTTGAAATGAGTCTAGAAAAATTAGAGCAAATAAACTATTTTTAGGGAAATTGATTTTTTCTTCTTTTTCTTTCAATCCATGCCTATTGTGGTAGAGGCGATTGTCTTTATAAGTGAAAATTTCAGTAGAGGAAATACAACCTCCGCCTTGTTTTCACATGCATATTCGTTGATGAATATGTAGACGATAAAGGTTCTGTCGAATTATAACCCAGGTGAGGGAACGGTCATCAGACCGCTTTAGTATGGATTACCGGTAAAATCAGCTTGAGGGGCATGAATCTTCAGGTGCCGCTTCCTATGTTTCTAGGTATTGGAATTGTGTATGGGTTGATTTCTGAAGTATCTGGTGATCCTAAAGCCTACTGTTCAGAGATGGCTTTAGGTCTTTATGGTTTCGGGTCTTCAATTTCCTGGAATTCCCTCGACCGGGGATGGGGTGTCCAAAAACTAATTCGCATATTTTCTTCTAGATCCGGGATAGGTTTCTTATGTGGGATTTGGTCCATGGCTGCATGCACATGCGGCATTGCCAAATACTTTGTCTTTTGGATAGTATGAAAATTACACACGCGGCCTCACGAAATGCTTTTCCTTGGATGAGATGAAAGTAGCCGAAACAGTGATTGGCGTGAACTTTTTCAACGGTTATAACTACTTTTTCAAAAATAATAATAATAAAGAAGTAAAGTGCACCCGAGGTTCCTCCCTAGAAGCTAGTAAAGTTCTTTTCAAAAGATTGGCATGCCTGCCCTCTCAACATAAAAGTTGACCATCTAGTCCTAACCAAAATTCACTTCGGAGTTTTAACCTAACACATATATGGGATAAATCATCCACTTGACTAATGAAATGTGGTACAAAGGAATGCAATTCTCTGATCTAATTATTCAAAGCCCACCGATCCAAAACAAGAATTACTGATCTTGATTGGGAATCGATTTGAGATGGACCATTTCTTCTTAAGTATTAAGAACCGGTCCGACTTGCAGGTGTATCGCAGGTTCCCATTGTGAATCAAGTTATCATGTCTGAGAATCGGGCGATCAGGACACTCTAGATCACTTGGTTCCCACATAATCATTTTTTTCACTATTTCTTTTTATCTTATTTTTTACTTTTTTTATGGATTTTTTCTCATACTAAAGAATCGGTTGGATCGGTGATCTGGATTGGCAAATTACGAATACATATCGGTTTCCTATATAATCGATTCGTATGACCATTTTGGGTTTTAAAACACTGCTTTAATCCATATAAGCTTATGGACCACAAAAACTTTACTGGACAGGCAGGTGACAATGTAAACGCCAAGAGCAAAAACAAGCACAAACAATCAATCACATATCAAAATAGATAGCGATGAAAAGTATACATAACTACGTCTACGAGCAATGACGATCAATAGTATTACAATAGAATCTAAAGTGTATAAATTAGATCTCTTAGGAAAATCTCTGACTGAATCAAAAACATATAAAAAAGTTATATGAATACACTATCTTAAACCCTAACTTAACCACCATATGCCCAAAACACCTCTATTAGGGCTAGGAACAAGGGGAACCTTGGTTGACATATGATATAAATTATGTTACCTATAAAGGCATAGCTGCACAAAAATTTATCATTACATGAAACTCTTCAAAGTCCATTTGATTATAAAATAATTTCTCATTAATGGGAGGGTATTGATGTAGAAAATGCAGAGTTGTCGTTATTTCAGAGGGGATAATGAAAAACAAAGTTCTGGTCTATAATTGCTGAACAAAGCCAGCCTTGAATAAGGTTACAGAGTCGCTGGTCCTCAGTTAGTAGCTTGATTAAGGCTAAGTGTGCAAGTTTGGGATCTTCTGAGGTCGAAGCTGAGTTTTTTATGGCCAACTTGGTTTCTAATGGCAATGGTACTATGTCGATATATACAGAGCTTTTTTTCTAAATAAGGGTCAGACCCCAAACAGTTAGAATAAAGCTCAAATGATGATGATGATGAATAGAATCTCCTTTGTACTCTTTCTCAAATCTCAATTGGGAGGGCTAAGAATGGGTCGGATGGATTTTGGATCCACAAGATCCGGATTTATATCCGAAAGGGATTCATGGGATTTGTATTTGGATCCGATTGGATCCAGAAAATTCAAATCCGGATTTGAATTTGAAAGTATACATAAGATCTGTATCTGGATCCAGACCCGATCGGATCCCAAAACTTATTTTAAATATTATATTATATTTATAAAATAATATAAGTTAATATATAACAAAAATACTATATAACATATGTGTATAAATATAATAATATATAATATATTACTAATTGAGTCGGATCCGGATTGGATCCACATTTGCCCGGATCCTATGCGAATTACTATTAAAATCTAAATTTTGGATCTTGACCCGTCGAATCCAAATCTTGAATCCATTTTGGGATCGAAATAGGATCCGAAATTCAAGTTTCAAATCCAAACTGGGTAAATTCTCAACCCTATCAACCGGGGTCAAGGCTCCCAAAGCGTGATAATTCACTGTTGTAGCAAAAGTCGTTAAGAGTCTGAAGTAATGGGAAGTTGAATCAAGTCTTAACCACTCAGAAAAATCTCTATGTTATCGTACTTCAACTTTGTAGGACATTGAGAAAAGGTTTTTTATTTTCAGTTCTCAATCTCACACACAATCATCTAGCGTTTGAACAACCTGCATGCACAACAACTACAAGAACTGGTTTCAAGACATTTCAAAGACTAATTTGTATGTGCACCATAGTGATTCAGACACACAGAAGTCCGCGCCATCTTCGAGGTATTAGATACTCTTATCGTGGTGGAATTCTGAACCAATTTCAAGGTATCAGACACCCTCGTCGTGTTTCACCGCGAGATGAAAATGAATCTCAATGAGTATAGCCCCATAAAATAACTAAGTCAAGCGCTGTACTCCCTTGAGTATTATCTCAGTTGCACTCTCAAGATAATATTATAGGAGTACAAAGATCTTTCTGAATTTCCACACTTTGATTTAGGGTTCATATGATTTAAGCAAGAATCGCATGCTAAGCTCTTTGCAGTACATGGATCCTTCTGACTGTAGACCTAGCAGTTCATTGTTGGATGACTAATATGTGTTGGATGACTGGTAGCAAATTGAGAATAATGTCACAAGTAAATTATAGCCCTCTATGAACAACTAGCACTAGTATGTGATATTATTGTTGGCTGTACTAATTACCCTAGACACATGTATGGATGTGATTAATTGTATTTCATGGTGTATAGTTCTTTTAAGCTATTTTTCATGAGCCAAAAAATGAAATTATCAAGACTTGACCAAACCAACTGAATCTACAGGTTGGACTGCTGATCGGTTCATGATTCCTTGGCCAATCTTGTCTGAACCAAAAATCATGTCTAGGTGAAAATTGATCAAAACTAGTTGCTATCTAATTTTGACAAGTTAGACCAACCGATTTCAACCGATCGGTTAGATTGCCTAAATAAAATTAAGCAAAATAAATTTTATCATGACTTAATAACAAAGAGAGACCGATATCCAAAGAGATTAAAAAAAGGTCAGGAGGAGAACCATTCAAAGAAGGCGGACACTCCTGTCCTACACGTGTCGTCTCTTTTCGTTGGAGTCAAGAAGGCTGGGCTCCACACAGTGGAGACTTGTGTGTCGTCACTCTCTTATTTGTCTACTTAAGTTTAATGGGACCCATTGTTTTAGCAATCAAGACAAAAAAGCCCCTTGAAATATTCAAGCTACAAGCCACTAATAAATATGTGATGACGTCTTAGATCAAGTCAAAAAAGACCTCTCTCTCTAAAACGATCAAGTCAAAAAAGACCTCTCTCTCTAAAACGACAGGATCAAGTAAAAAATGATCTCTCTCTAAAATAACTTCTCTCTCTCTCTCTAAAAAATGATCTCTCTACAGTATGATATATAATCTCTCTCTAAAAAACGGTCTCTCTCTCAAAAATGATCTCTCTAAAAAATGATCTCTCTCTCTGTACCACTAAATGAGGAGGACTCTTCTGAGTTAAAGTCAAAAAGTAATCTTTCATGCTACTTGCACTCTCTTTTGACTCATTAGTTGGCATACACCGACTTGCATGTCCACTTGTTTCTCTCTCTAATCCAATTCTCCTCTACGCCCTACTTTCACTACATACTCCTTGCTATAAGTACCATCTCAGCTCTTATTATTTTCATTGTCTTTTTTTTTCCAATCTCTAAGAAAGAAAGATCTCTCTCTCCCCTCTCTCTAAGAATTCAAGTCACAATGGGTGTGCATTGTCCACCGAATATTTCTCTAAGTTTTCTCATGTTTGCTCTAATGGCTGGCTTGGGCTATGCCCAGCTCTCGGTGTCCTTCTATGCCAACACTTGCCCCTCTGTGTTTGACACAGTCCGCTCAGGCGTGCAATCCGCTGTGAATAGAGAGCCCCGCATGGGTGCATCGATCATTCGCCTCTTCTTTCATGATTGCTTCGTTAACGTGAGCCGAACATAATGTCTCATTTTTTTTTTCTCTTTCTTTTTTTTCTTTTCTCTTCTTGAAGTGTTTCATTTTAAGAAGATGTTATGAGTGAGGTTGAAGAAGCACAAGTTCATTAGATTCTAATGGAATTCAAATTGTGCATCATGAGAGAGAGAGAGAGTACTAAGAGTGGATCTTCAAGGAGAGAGAGAGAGTACTAAGAGAGGCTTTGAATTCACACACATGATGAGTTTTTCGAGAATAAGCCCAAAGCAGGTGGTAGGGTGGTGGGTGACGTCCAGAGTTTCATTCTTACTAGGCCCCATGTTAATATTTTAGAAAAAAAAAAAAGACAAGGAGAGAGACTAATGCCGGGGTTTTGAGGAGTGTTGTCAAATTCGCTACGTTGTGACCCCAGCCTTTGGATTTTATGCCTAGACCAAAGCGAAGTAAAGCTTAGTGCTTCAGCTTTGGTTAGATTCAGGCTGCTTCGATTGGTTTGGGTCTGCTTCGGACCGACATGGCTTTTGCTTCAGCCTAATCAAAGAAATATCTATATAAAAGTATTTGAATTCTTTATTTTTTATTTTGAGAGAGACATATATCTTATGGTGTTTTTTTTTTCTGGTTGACAGGGTTGTGATGGTGGGATCCTATTGGACGACACAAGCTCATTCGAAGGAGAGAAGACAGCATTTGGGAACAACAACTCAGTGAGAGGGTTCGAAGTGATCGATAATTTAAAGGCCCAAGTGGATAGAGCATGTGGAAGAAGCGTTGTTTCATGTGCTGACATCTTAGCCATTGCCACACGTGACTCTGTGGTCCAAGTGAGTATTACTATAATAACCTTTCTTACTTCAAATTTTTGAGAGAGAGACGTTGTTGTAGTTAACATTAGAGAGAGAAAGAGACTATACTCGTTTACAGTAGAGGGAGAATTTACAGTATAAAACTTCAATGCAATAATAATCTTCCTCTCTCTCTCTCTCTCTCTCTCATGGCAGTTAGGAGGCCCCTCCTACTCTGTACCAGTTGGGAGAAGAGATGCAAGGACTGCAAGCAAGAGTGCAGCTAACAGCGACCTCCCCGCCCCTTTCGAGGACCTCGACCCCATCATCGCAAAATTTAACCGAAAAGGATTCACCCCGAGAGAGATGGTGGCCCTATCCGGTGCTCACACTGTAGGCCAATCCCGGTGCACAGCTTTTCGCGATCGCATATACAACGACACCAACATCGATCCTGCCTTCGCATCGAGCAGGCAAGCAAATTGCCCTAGAACCGGAGGCGACGACAACTTAGCACCATTGGATCCACAAAGTCCAAACCGTTTCGGAAACAACTATTTTCAAGCCTTATTGAATAGGAGAGGGCTTCTTCACTCTGATCAGGTGCTCTTTAATGGTGGCTCTGTGGATTCTATAGTGACCACTTATAGCAACAACGCTAACACCTTCTTTCAAGATTTTGCCAATGCAATGATGAAGATGGGCAACTTGGGAGTCCTAACAGGGACCCAAGGGGAGGTTAGAACTAATTGTAGGAGGTTTAATTGAAAGAGAAAGGGTAAGCAAGTTAGTTAGTGTGAGAATCATTTTTTTGTTAGCAAGTTAGAGAGATAAATTTGGGGAGGAAGAGAGCAAGTATTTGTGTTAATTAAGAAGATGTGGAAAAAGGGCTTGGATAGAGAGTGGGGAAACAAACACAAAACAAGGGAAGGGCATTATTGGATGTTTTGTTGATTTTACTTTCCAAATACATAAATAAGAAACCTTTGGCTAAAAGCTCTCTCTCTCTCTGTTTTCTTTTGAAGAAAATTACATGATTTTATGAATGACAAACTAATGCAAAGCAACTCGAAATCAAAAGCAGAGAGTAGAAATTGAATCCCTCCAAGCATCCTGTTTTGCCAAATCACCCTTCGGCTAAAACATACTCTCTCTCTAAAGGAAGAAATAAGGGGCTAAAAATTCTCTCCCGCTCTCTCTCTAGAGGAAGAAAAAAGGGGCTAACAATTCTCTCCCTCTCCCCCTCCCCCTCCCCCTCTCTCCCTCCCCCTCCCCCTCTCTCAAGAAATAAAGGGCCTGCAACTCTGAATGCAAGAAGTCAAAGATGTTGCTTAGAGAGAGGTGTGGGAAGGAGAAAAAGCAAATATAAATGGAACATCCACCCAAACACCCATCACATCAGAGATATGCAGTGAGAAAGGAGGGCACATAACTCATGGCAATTTTTTAAACGATCTCTTGGGCCTATAGCAGAGCTTATTAGGATTCTCACCCAACTAAACAAATATTACAACTCAACTAACTCATGCATCCTTCTGTCTCATTCACCATCACCCACCCCAATCTCTCTCTCTCTCTCTCTCTCTCTCTCTCTCTCTCCATGAACCAACCACTTTGGACCAAGCTAGCATCATCCTCTCTGACCATGAAGCAACCACTCTTGTCATCCTCTCTCTCTCCCTCTCACATACATGAAGGGTGGCAACAGGTCGGGTCTGACTGGACCTCAGACTCAACTAGTATTCGGGTCCATGTTTTGAACCCAGACCCAACCTTTCGAGTCTAAAATTTGGATCCATACCAGGACCAGAGGTCAGATCTACCCGTCGGGTCTGGTCAGGCCCAATGCCACACTATGATTAAGAGCTTCTTCTTCCTTTTTTACCATTATACACCGATAGTATTGGCAACATTTACAATATTGCTGACAACATTTATGAGTACAAATTCCTAAGAAACAAACATATTGGCAACATTCATTAATACCTTCCTATATTATTCGGGTTGGGTCCGGCTGGTCTTTTGGACCTAGACACGACCTTTCGGGTCCAAAATTTGGAACCATACCCGGACCCGAGGTCAGGTCCCGGGTCTGGTCGGGTCCATTGCCAATGAAGCACATCACTCTTCGACCAAGCTAGCATCATCCACACACACTCTCTCTCACTCTCGTTATATTTGAGTGTACTGAGAAACACAATTGGGCAAATCTCATTATATTTGAGTGCACTGAGAAACCCAATTGGGCAAATAAATTTACAGATGCAAAAACTCTGAAACAAACAACAAATATACAGCAACAACGAAATACCGTCTTGAGGCTCCAAGTCTCCCAAAAGAAAAAAAAAGTAAAAAAGTCCCTTTATCAGAACAAAGTGAATGACTACCGGATCGAGGCAGCCAATCTTATTCAATCTCTCATCCACCCATTGCCCAGCTATTCCTGCACCGTAGCCATCATCATCATAAAGCAACATGAGCCTGTAAATGATTTCCATACTGAAAATAAAATGATCTCATTTCTCAGTCATCAGGGACGGACAGAGAGACTAAAAAACCAAACCATTCTCGATCACCATGAGAGAGTAAAAATCATACTCAATAATCATGGGGAAAGAGACTAGGAAATCCTTCATAAAGGAAATGAAATAACACAACTGCTCAAATATATATTAGTAGCAGTTGCAAAAGTATAGAAGGCTATATACAAATTGAGAGCAGATCTATGTAATGAAAAATTGGAAGCTAACTATCGATAGCTAAATCATAGCTGGAACTAGGAATTTTCTATTTATAATTTTCCCACAACTTTTTAGTTCTTGTTTATCCATTAAACAAGCACAAACCTCCAAGCGGGCTGGTGTCTAAATCAATCTTTTTGGAAACTCTTTGGTTTGGCTAAAGTCATTGGCTCCATGCCTTAACCGAAGAAAAGTAAATCACTCCCCCACTAAATTGAATATTTAAGTGAAAGTCAAAAAAAAATATCGCTACATTCAAAATTGAATAAAAATACCCCCTAAAACATAAAGGCTTTGATCAAAATATCTCTATAATAGGCATCCTGGTAAAGGCCCAGGTTCCCGATGTTTTTCATCCAACTCTCTCTCTCTCTCTCTCTCTCTCTCCACATATATTCACATTTCCTGCATGCTTTCCCAATTTAGGCATCACAACTTCCTAAAGTCTTTTGGATCTCACAAGAACTTCACATGCATCACATCAAAGCTCTGCATTCTCCACATAAGTCCACATTTCCTGCATGCTTTCCCAATTTAGCATCAAAGTCGAGTCATTTAGGTCTCACAAGAACTTCACACGCAGCACAGTTCTAATGGGTTCCTTTTCTTTCTTTCATTCACTTATTGGATATGATTCTCTACTTTTATTTCGAGCTCTCTACTTTATACTTGGTGATTATACACTTCTGGTATTTTTCTTGATATTTTCTGAGTCTTCCTCACCCACCTCTAGAATTACTTTCAGACTCATTTCTCTTGTTACTTTCAGACTCATTTCTGGATAAGTAACAACTATTACTCATTTCCTCTTTAGTACGGTAGTAAGACTTTAACTTAGGAAGAAGTGCCGTGATTGTCAACACCTCAACCAATCAAGCCCAAGCCCAATACCTGCAACTATTTTCATTTCCAGAATTCGAAGTTTGAGCACTTCTCAAACACACTGAATGAGGACAAGAAGCTGATATAGATTGACATGCCACAAAATCCACTCACTTTTTCCAACAGTGATCAATGATTTTTCTTGAAAACCACACAGCCTCCCCAACTATTCTTATATGGAGTGTCCATCATCACATTAAATTCCAAATTTTGAAAAAATATGAAAATCAATAACCATTCCTACATAAGGAATAACATCAGGGAGACTCACAATGATTACCGATTTACCACAGATACAGTTATCATGACAAGGAAGCTTGAATGACATGCATAAGCTCAAGAAACAATAACTTCTTGTAACTTAGCATTAAACATAAGACACAACGGGCCCTCGGGATGATTCCTTGGACCAACAAAGGTAACTTTGCCGCATTTTTCATTAATATAGAACACTCGTATAACAATAAAGAGAACTGAATAGAAGTCGACCATTGGAACTGCAAATAAAGCATTGACGCACTAGAGCCAGAATGGGAAGAGCTCATAATATTCGGATTTTGGTAAAAGAACAAAGAAATAGGAGCAGCTTCAGCAAGAGGTTTTCAACTGGAATCTGAATCCTTAGTTTCAGGAAACTTACATTCTCAGAGCAAGTTCAATAAGAATACTGAATAATTGGTACTTCTACATTTGAAGAGGGAAAAGAAGGTTGAAAAGAATGTTAAGTGGAATGTAGTCGGTAAAGAGGGTTCTGATCGCCTAGACGTTTGGCGGGCGCCTTGATTTCAAGGCTCCCAGTACACTCATATGCATATATATGCACTCCAGATGCACATATATACATATAAATTTATAATTTTTGCATGTGCATATGTACATGTGTGTGTGTGTGCACACAAACAGACACGTGTATAAACTCCTTACCACCATCAGCTACTTGGGGGTTGGCCATTCCCAGACAGATTTACATCTTCTGAGGTCTTGACTCTTCCTGAGCCGATGATGTGCCCACAAAACCTATAGGCAAGGTCTCAAACCTATTATTATTTACCAAACAAAATGTCTATTTAACCAGGCAGAAAATAGGATACCCAGACTGTTGACTGGCCCACCTTCCCTAAAAAGCTATATTTGAAAAAGGGCTTCAATGCACATGGAACTGGCAATGATTTCAGACTGGAATTTTCAACTGTTGGGCACTACCCTCCCTCTCTTTTCACACCTATTTCCCCATTTTTCCTAGGCCAATTCTTCCCTTGCCAAGTTTAGGAACCAAAAGCCCTTTTAAACAATCAGTCAAGCCATAAAGTCAAGAATGGCATTAAATCAAGGAATGATAAATGCCCATTCTGGCAGAAAGGGAGGGAAGTATAGTCCTTAGCAGTAGGTAGAAGCACCAGTTTCTGTTCTTACTTTCCTATTTAACTTTCCTAGCTGTAGTAGATGTAATTCAGTAGCAGTGTGGGCGTAGCAGTTGTCTCTCAAGTATGGCACAACACAGTAGATGTTGCTCTCTTCTGTTGCATAGGCATAGATGGGGTAGGTAATTAAAGCAATATAGAACTTCAGAGCCAACTCAATGCAAAGCAACAAATAGCTAACCCAAATCAAGAGTAGTGCATCTCAGTAGCTACAAGAAGAAGAGTAACAAGAAGAGATAGCTCCAAGACTAGAGAGCTTTATAAGCAATATGTAAACATGATACATGGGTAGCTAAGCCTTGTATAGGGTGGTGCTACATGAAGAACATAAGTTAGATGACGGCATAGAGGGACTAAAGATTGGAGTGTGCGTGATTCATTCCCACACTCATTCGAACTCGTACCTTTCTAAATCTCATCCTACAACGGTGTGCTTTGAAAGCGTGCGATAGCTATTTATGTATATGCATATACATGTAGTTCACGATGAATCCAATAAAAAAGAAACGTAAGATTTGAGATAATTTCTCAAGCTTCTCGAAATTTTCAATCTAAGAAAATTTGACAATTCACAGAGTATTAATTTATACTTTGTTTACTATAGAAACCCTAAAATCAACCTTTTTTTTTGGTTTGTTCTTTTTGTGGTTGGGGGGGGGGGATGGTATAGGAATCACCCCCTCCCCCCCAACAAAAACCAAAAAACTAACCCCAAAATCCTTTTTTCCAAATCCTCCTTCCCCATTAAAAGAGGAACAAATTTACCAAAATTCCCCTTGTTCAAGGGCAATTTCCACCTTGAGATAAGGGTGGGTAGCCTAGGACAGCATGTAGCATTAGGCTCCATGTGCCAGCCTAAGGTTCCTCTTGGGCTGCTTGGACACCCGCCTGGGGACATGGTCCCCAATGAGGCCCAGTGGGGAGCTCTAGCGCCCTAGGAAGGGCAGTACGGCTGCATAGGCACTAGGCGGGCCGCTTTTTTTAAACAACGAGGGAAAAAATGTTCATTGTAGAGGAAGATTATACTTTCTGCAAGTTAGCCCCTTTGAATAAGGTATTGATTGGCATCAAGTGCAGACATTTATGTCTAAACTCCAAAGCTTGCAGAGGCCTGGGTGCTTTTCCTAAATGTAGAGCTTTTTTAAAGGAAAGACATCACAACAAGGGTGCATATCAAATCTTCCTGATTTGAATACTTTTATATAAATGCATTACTTATTAGCCAATGTAGAATGGAATATTTGATAACGGTAAAGAAGAAAAAGTGGCAAATTGGAGGCCATCAGTCAAAAATATAGGTGTGAAAGCAAGACCTTACAAGAGAGCAATCAGGTGTGATGCCATTTGAGGAGGTACTTGAGATTTATCTACAGCTTGAAAGAATCTTACTACTGTGCACTCTTCACTAAGCTACTATAAACTCCAAAGAGTATCCATGTACTAACCCAAAGCATAGAGTTATGGCCACCTATCAACTACTTTAGCACAATGAGGAATATAGGCAATAATGGCCAATAAGAGAAGGAGGTAGGGTTGTTTTTTCTTTTTTCTTTTTGGTCTTTTTTTTTTGGGGGGGGGGGGGGTGGGGGGGGAGGGGGCGGAAGGTGGTGGAGTATAAAAGTTAGCAGAATTCCTTGTTAAGGTTTCCAAACCTATTCATTGTTTTTTTCAAATGAAAAATTAGAAATCTATACTCGAGTTATACCTCATGCATTAACTACCAACTGGGTCCAAAAACCTTGGTGAAAACCCTAATTAAAACCCATCGTACCGTATTCCGTAGAAGTCCATGAATAAGTTTTAAATTTGGAAACCCTGATTGAATTTAGCACGTTCAATTTGGAAAACCCTAAGTTAAGCTTGCCAATTCAAGACACAAACCCTAATATATGTAATCAGGAGCTGAACCCTTAACAGAAGTGCCCAATATCTCAAGTAATTTAAAAAACCAGGTATAACCCTGAATCTGTGTACTCCAAAGAAAAACCCCAATCATTCTCAATTCCACTTTCTTGTCAGATAAATGAAAGCTGTAGTTTTTCCATTGCTGAGTAAAAAAACCCACTACAACTACAACCCAAGGTGCAGAATCTCGATATCAATGGCAAGAAAAATGCCAATAACCAAATTAGGAACAATAAATTGAGAATTTTCCCCATCATTAATAAAAATAAACCTGCAAAAATACCTGTTTTTGGGTTGAGGAAAGCATCTCCATGATCTTTTTATCCCTCCTTTCCATAGCAACGTCCCACACGTCATTTCCAATGTGCTTTGGCTGAAAGAAAAACCAAAGTTTTAGAGAGAGATAGATATATATGTTCAAAAAAGAGAGAGAGAGCGAGAAAAGAGGAGCTTGTTTACCCTTCCATGAGCTGCTTTGTGGATGTAGTATTGGGCATTGCCCATTACACACAACATACCAGCAATGATCCCCAAGGGGAGAAGAGCTTCCAGCCAAATCATTTTCTCTCTCTAAAACTCTCTCTCTCTCTCTCCCTCTACAAGAGACGCCGATGGCTACTGAGTTCCCCATGCGTTCGTTGCGATGCATATGCTGCGTTTTTCTTCCTAGCGCTCATATTGTGCTTCCGCGGGGCGTATACTGTGTACCTACTCTTAGAAGACCTGCTTGGTAAAAAAAAAAAGATTTAAATATTGGGAACCAGTTAGATGATGATTATAAAAATAAAAAAAAAATGAATTTCAAGTTTTCTAAGATTCAGATCTCACTGTCAAAAAATTTGACAATCTCTGTCTGATCAATCTCGATATGTTATTTTATTGTTTTGTTGTCGTACATTAGGTTCTACATGGACGACTAAATGAACAATATACTCCCAGGAAAGCATAATATCGTTTGGCTTTTCTCTATTTAGGACTCCAAGTGATAGGGATGTACCCTATTATTCAACTTAATCTCGCAAAGAATTCCTGATGGTACCCTCTGTGCGCTTTGAAAAATAAAAAAATAATTACAGAGACTATTCAATTTTTCGATGGCCTCATCTAAGTGCTAGAAAACTCAAAACTCAAATTTTTTTCCTTTAAGAATTATAATTTTAGTAACTCTTTAGTGATTTTTAAAATTTAAAATTAAAAAAATCTTTAGGTGTTCTAATGGGGGGAGCATGGTATATATGCTCATTTTGAAAAGGGAAAAGTTTGTGACCGGTGTCGACCTCATATTACATGAGTATTTCCACAGTGGAAAACTTTCAATTTAATATAAAAAATAGTCAAGTTCTATATTTAGTGCATCTAATTATTTGAATAATTTACTTTTATGGTCTTCAAATATTTACGGATCTACATGGTTAAAAAATTAGGGTCCAATTGACCTATATTTCTCAAGGTGGTGGTTTCAATATATTATAAGCCTATGGGAAAGGGTAAATCTAAAATAACATAATTGGAAGTATTGAGAAAATATATGACGACTTATGATTTTATTGAGTGAGCGGCTACCGTAACGCACAATGATGGACTAGAATTTATCTAGCTGACCAAAATAGTTTGAACGAGGATCTCATGAAGATGATAAATCCAGCTGACAAAAAATAGTTTGAACGAGGTTCTCATGAAGATGATAAGCCTGTTGGCATACATGATTTTTCTCAAAATTAGAAATATAAACAATAGATGAACGAAGAAGGCAACTAAGAGCTACCACAAGAGACAGAGAATGAAAAATCAGTTTCAATAACAACTAACGGATGAATAGACAAATTTAAAAGTGACGGCAAGAAGTCAGCATCGCTAGCTGACAACCGCATTAAATACCCAATTGTTCAAATTAATCCAATGGTCATGATTGTACTTCGAATTGAATTTTATTTTATAAATACAATTCATTTTAAATTTTGAGAATCTACTCTTGAAAACTAGGCAAACATAAAAAAATTATTAAAAAAATAATTTATAAAAACTAAGTTGATAAAAATATCCCTAAAAGTTATAGAAGTGTTTCGGTCAATTTATTTATTGTGAATGGGTTTTTTAATATTTTTATTAGATACGCATTGATGAAAATAGTGTACATTCTAAATTTTAAGTGATTTAAAGTTTTTAAAAAAAAATAAAATTCAAATACAAATATAATCATGACTATCAGATCGGCTCTTATGCAATATGGAGCATTAGGCTTACACTATTTCAACAGTTAATAGGCTGACATGATCTTTTCCCAATTTAAAATTAACAAACTAACACATATACTATATCGCTATGAGAGTATATATCTAATTTTTTCTCGAGAAAAAACACATAATAAGCTTTTTTAGATTTAAAATTCTAGGATCCAATAAAAATCATTAGACAATTACTTTTTTAAAAAAATGAAATTAGATTTTGAGTTCTTTAAATGTCTACATATTAGACCTTGTGCATCCAAACAAGAACAATAGTTTTTTCATGCTCACAAAGAGTGCATGCTATTTTTAGTTTTTTTTTAAGTTTGTGTTAGGGTTGAGGATGATACATCACCAAAATTCAAAGTGTTAAAAGTACCCCTATATTAGTTTTACCCGAGTGAGCATATGGACAGTATGCTTACACGAAAAGTAATGAATCAATCTGGTTGACAAAAATAAAAATATACAACGAGACAATTTACCCCAAAAAAATATCGCACACTACAATCAAGTTAGAGAGAGAGAGAGGTCAATGAAAGTGTCACTTGCATTGAGCTCTTGCCTATTTTATTTTAGGGTGCGGTTTCTATAAGGTTGTAACTTTAGACGATCCATTTTAAGATGCACCTCCAAATTTTATGGTAACATATAATTTTGGTATAAAAAATCTTAAGATTATCTCAAAATATATTTTCATATCTAATTATAAAATTTTAAACTTAAAAAATAATTACAATAATGTAGATCTATAAATATATGAAAAACTTGAAAATAGACGGTCTACTTGCATGATGCACTATTTATAGGACTCAATATATAAATATATTATTATATATGGGCGTCAAGATGATTAATTAGAGGGTTTTTAACATTAAAACAACCTTCTCGATGGATTTTTGAGATGCGTAGTTAATTATACGTTTAAAGGTTGCAACCTTATATAAACTTTTTCTTTTATTTAATGGGTACAATTTGTATAGAACCTAAGCTCTAACCAATCAAATTAGAACATATCTTCAAAAAGTATCGAGAAATGAGGTTTCAACACTAAAAATATTTGTGATAGCTTTAAAATATATATTTATCTTTATTTATAAGGTTTAAAGCTTAAAAAATACTGTAAATCGAAAGATATTTGAAAACTTGAAATCTTGAAAATTGATGGTAAAAAAATACATTACAAAATACATTATTTTCAAAACTCGAAATCGATTTTTTTCGCATGTCCATGCATCTTGATATCGAGATGATCAATTTGAAAATACTTGAGCATCAAAATAATATATTCTAATAAAATTTGTAAAGTTGTTTAGAGGCTCGGCTCGATATAAACTTTTCCCTTATTTTATAAGGCAACACGTGAATCTCAAGGACCATCCATAAAGGTTAGGTGGCCATTCATTTACAATTAACTGAAGTTTGCTTTTTTGTTTTTACAATCAGTAAAGAAGCCTTAAAGGACCGTACATTTCAATATTTCACTGCATGCGTTACATATGGTTTTTGAAACAATCGAGGACCTCTCTCGTTTTTTTTTGGGTATTATATTGGTCTCTCTCTCTCTCTCTCTCTCTCTCTCTCTCTCTCAGATATTTCTTCAAACAAGAGAGACCCCCCCACTTTAGGGTTTACATCAGTCTTAAAAGAGTTTGTCGTTCTAACCTGTAACCGGCTGGTTAGATGACAACCTGCCGAATGTGTAAAAAATAAATAAAAAGTTTATATAAAATCCTAAAAATACGGAAATAGATTTGTAGTACAAATTTAATGTTTTTATTATTATTATAGCAAAGATTAAAAATTGCTTTGATTATTAAAACTTACTTTTACTTTTCCATCTCTGTTGAAAAAATTTAAAAATACACTTAGGCAAAAATCCATTACTTAAAATCTATTTCTTCATTAATTTTCAATTTTGTTTGGATGTAATTTGTTTAATCGTTTTTTAAATATAATTTATATATTTTATAAAGTTTTTTTTTTATTTATTTATTAGTTTCAACACTTTTTTACTTGGACTTGTTTGATTACGCTCACACATTCTCTCTTTTTGTGCTGTCCTTCTCTTTTTTTTCCTTTGGTTGGGCTCTCTTTCATTTCTCTCTTTCATATTCACTCTCTCTCTTCCCTTCGTTAATATTAAAAATATTTATGGTGGTCAATAAAGTTTGGTCTTAATATATAAATGTAGCTACTCAATTTCATATTCAATAGTTAAGATTAATTGTAACCGTCTTGTACTAAAGCTAAATAATTTTATTATATATATTTTGTTTTTGAGTAATGATAAAGAACTTCCCATACCCATCACATTTTATATATGTAGGATCTCTAAATATCACAATTAAATTTAAAATAGAATTTTTGAAAATTTAATTCAATAATATTTAATAAATTTTAAAAAAATCTGTATCAAATTTAATTCAATAATATTTAATGGTCATGATACGAAGTCTTATCCACATAAATACGGGGATCATTACTCTTTTTAATTAGCTTCTAAATCAATATTCTCTCTCTCTCATACTCTCTGTCTCTCTCTCTCTCAGGTCCTGATTTCTAAAGTTTTCTCTCTCTACATGCACGCTGCTACGCACCCACTACTGTCAGTCGCACAGTCAAATAAACCCCTTCCTTTCTTACTATCCCATTTAAACCCCCCAAAACCCACACTCCTCATTGATAACCTCAAATACACTGGCACCTCGAAGAGGGATTCCCTTTTCTTTTCTTTTCTGGTTTTCTTTTCTTTTCTATTGAACCAGGGGATTCCCTTTTCTTTTCTTTTGTGGTTTTCTTTTATTTTCTTTTGAACCAGAGGTAGAGAGAGAGTACTTCGAAAAAGCTCCTCAACTTTTTCTTCTTTTTTTTTCTGTATTTTTCTTTGCCATCGACAATGTCAGGGCTCTACACCCACAACTTCTCTCCTTCCAAAGCCGTCTCTCCTCAAATAAGAAGCACCCCAGACCATGACAGGTCTCTCTCTTTCTCTTATGGCTTTATTTTGCTTATTCTTCGTCTGGGTTTCAGCATTTTGTAAAACTCTTTTGTGCTCATCTCTCTCTCTCTCTCTCATGGCTTTATTTTGCTTATTCTTCAACTGGGTTTCCTTTTTGTAAAATCTGTGTGTTTACGTTTGTGCACTTCCTTTTGCATTTTTCTTATGTGGGTGTCGGTCAATATTTTCATCTCTCTCTTCTTTATGGATTTCTTTTGATAATTCTTCATCTGGTTTTCCTTTATTTAACTTGCAGAACACTTTCTTGCTTATGTAATATTTTTGCATTTCTAATGTGTTTTATCAGCCAGTATTTGTCTGAGCTTTTGGCTGAACATCAAAAGTTAGCCCCCTTCACGGAAGTCCTCCCTATCTGTAGCCGTTTACTGAACCAGGGTCCGTATTCTCTCTCCCTCCTGCCCCCTTCTCTCTCTTAATGTACATATGATATCATTGTGAGCAATTCTGTTATATTTTCATATGTGGGTTTTTGCTATTTCTTTGGAAATTCAGTTTTTCAGTTTTGGGTTTATGATTTATACCTTGACTGTTTCATATCCATGCCAAACACAGCAGGGAAATGGTTATGGGTTCAGAATTTCTTCTCTCCGGAAATTACATTATAAAAATTTCATGTATTCTCTTACTGTCTTTACTGAGAAATGTTAGCCTTATGATATAAATACTGAATGATAATACAAATATATCTGGCAAAATGAGTCTTAACCAGGCTCAGTGCTTTTCAGTTTGCACGCTTGAATGATTCATAGATGAGCTTCTCTATTCACTCTTTTGGAATTTCAGGTTTCTATGTATAATATTTTCCCATGTGTGTTTTATGTATATCTTCTTTGAGTCTTGTGATTATTTCATGATTTTGTTGCTTATATTTTACTCTTTTAGTCTTTCTTTCACCAAATATGAACTTCTATTTGCTTCTTGTTCAAGGATGGTGAAGTTAGTGCTTTCAAGACCGGATTGTACCCTACTGGCTGGGCTAATTGGTGATACCAATGATCATGTGCCTTGGGTATTTTGGTCTAGAGTTATAGCCGGATTTGGTTGAAAATTGGTAAAAGCCCATGCTTGATTGGTTTAGGTTGACCAACCATTTTTTATTGGTTGAACCGGCTAAACAAAATTTTGCAGTATCTTTTTAATATATTTCATATTTTTAAGATATTATTCCCATGTTCTTTTTATTTTCTAAATATCTTGTCCAATCGATTCAACCGGTGGTCGAACCAGTTTTGAATGACTAGACTAGACCCCTAACTGGCTCATTAGCTGGTCCAATTCTGTTCGATGGGTGAAGTCCAAGTACATTTGTTTTCAATCAATATTTGGAGGAATGGGTGCTTTGTTGATATGAAACGATTGTTTTAAAGCATGGCTTTGCGTCGGGAGTCTTGGGGTCCCGAGCGTGAGTCGGACAACTTGACTCTGCCAAGTCCTAGTGAGACTCCACTAAATCTTGGAAAAATTAATTAGTAACCTTAGGATCATCAAGACTCTATCAGTTCCCAAAGTTTTCCTTCTAGGCTTCGCAGGCTACCAAGTCTGACTTACTGGTTTGTGTTTGAGTCGGACTTGTTGAGTTTTAAATCATTTGATAAAACAACTTCTTTGGTGTACAGAGATTTTGCGAGTCTCTGGTAGGATGCCCAACAAAGGTTTTGGGGACCATGAAAGGCTTCACCTTGCGAGTCCAGTGCCATTTCCCAATCTTAATTTAGGTCTTGGAGGAACAGGCTTTGGTGCTTGGAATGGTCTTCAACAAGAGGTAAAAGTTTCTCCTTTCTTTTGTATATGTTTTTTATATGATCTTCATCACCAATATAAGTTTTGTAGTGTTGTTGTATTTGTTCGTTGATGCCTTGGTGTTTGTATTTGCATGTGATTGGTTAAATATTTATTTTGTGGCTGGAGTTATGTTTGGTTATATGTTACCCAAAATTTAATTGGGTTATTTCCAGTGGGACGGAGGAAACTTGTTGTTAGTAGCCTCTGTTTTTGCCAAGTGATTTGCTTCTCGTTCAGTGAGTATGATTGAAGGTCATTACTTCTTCCATGAGTTATTGGTTTTCAATGAAAACTTATTTATTCTTCCATGGAGAAATATGCCATGTATTCAAGTAGGTAAAACCACTGAATTAAAATGATTTAGGAGAATTTTTTTTTTTTGGGCGAGTGATATAGGGGCATTTTTATAAATGCTTCTCTATCTGTACATGTATTTGAGCCAAACCTTGCAACCATCTACACAAGTGTTTGGCAAAGTTTGAGAATGGGATGCATATCAGTTCTGCAATTCTGAAGCTATCATCCTTAGAATTATAAGTTTGAACTTTGAACTCTGTGAACCCATTATGAATTGGGAGTCTCTGTTCTCTTAACTTTTAGTGGGTGGATTGGGGATTTGTATTCCATACACAGAATCTAGTACTATGAAAAGGATCATTTACTTGTTTTCTCCATGATACTCTAAACGTCTCAATCTGGCAAAAATTTCCTTGAAAGATTCTTTTTTTTTTTAACAAATTTGAAAAAGTATGTTTTATTGATGTGGCTCAAAGAACTGTTAAAAGTCTTGGGGCATGATAGCCTCCCTTCTTGATTTTTATGCTGGATCTCCTTCCCAATGGAGCCCTTTGCAAATTGGAGTGGGGTCCACGAGTAGTGTTGGCGGATTCTATGGTAACTTCGTGGAAGGGGAATATTAACGTTTAGAGTGAGGAAAACTAGAATAAAGGTCGGTTTAGCAAACAATTTTGTTTACTTAATGTCTCTTGGAATATTCTCACTCTGCAGCTGAGAGAGATTGATTTCATTGTTGTTGGAAGAGGGTTCAAGAATTAGTTTCCGTGTTCAGGGAGTCGATGTGAAGGTTGTCAGCCTCGAAGATCCACCTAAGAGTTGAGGACTTTAGGCTAAATGAAGTGGCTGGTAGGAGGTCTTCCAGTTTGTAGAGGGCATTTGTTCGACCTATTTGAGGAGAGCTCAAAATTATGGTAAGGGAGGTGGAGTTAGTTAAGTCATAATATTGGTGCCAGTACCACTATTAAAGCAACCATTGGTTAAATGGAAATTGATTATTTTTAATTTTTACAAATGGACTACTTTTAGAGCATAAGATCATGGAGTTTATGCGTATGGTGTATTGATCAACTCCAAGGCTTGATGTGGACATGTATTAAATCTCAAGTCAGTATTGAAGAAATTGAGGAAGTTCTAACTCAAGTTTTTATTTTTTTATTTTAATGGTTGAAAGTTTCGACTTAAGTTGGGCCATAGATATGCACTTTCGGCATTACTTCTAGAAATTTGTATTAGGTCAGTTGGAATACTGCATAGAATACATGCATCTAGGTCTGTCGCAGTTTTAGTGGAAGCAGATATTGTGGTTGTGATGGTCTTTTTAGTTCATAATGGTGGATGTGGATGCTACCTCCGTATATGCTGATGTTTTAAGCTTCTCTCCTACGGATGTCAAATTTGCAGCGACTCAGCTTATGTCACATTAAATTCTGGCCAGCTCTCCTACTTCTCTTTACTTGACTCCAACCGTCAGATGGGTATCATGGACTGCATGATAGGTAATTCCGTATATTTTATGAATGAGTTCCTCATGTTGGGTGTGCCACATTGGTTTCTGTTATGGTTATGTTTTCTCTTCTATTGGGGATGCTCCTATTCGTCATTTTATGAGGGAGCTATCCCTGAACAATTTTCTTTTGGTGCTCTGATTAAAAAAAATTCATCCATTTCAGTTAATTATGAAGGATCGAATTTTCTTTAGTGCTCTAGATTTCTTTTAGAGCTATCCGTGACTTATACTGTTTTTTTGAGTTGACCCTACGAGAGTTTGTTATGAAGGATCAGGACCAGGATAAATTTCAAAAAGCGGATCTTTTTATATTGCGTTGTAAGGGTAGTACTCATGGCCCTCTGGCTTTTGGTTTACTTCCAGTTCTATTTGGCATCAACATATTGGGCATCCAACATCAAAGATGGTTCAGTTTTTTGGAGTCCAAGGCAGACATTTGGTCTGGCGATAGCAATGGTGTATCATTGTCATGTTGCTTTTATCAGAATATTGTAATTGCTTTTTTTATTTGTAATAAAGAGCTCGTACTTCCTTTATTAATGTTTCAGTGGGAACAAAATGAGTTCTTGACTGTTGATTTGATTATTTTCGGCCAAATCTATTGGGTGGTTCAACTTTCTCTTATTTTTCTAAATGGTCATGTTGAACCATTGGCCCTCAATTCCATCCTTTTGGCAAGTTCTCTTCCTGGTTTGATCTGAAAATATAGCAACCAATGAACCGCTGCACTTGATTGATGCACAATCAAAGCAATCTGATGCAGTTCCCCATATCATGTTTAAAGTTGTTCTTGTCTTGGCAATAATTTTTATATCTTTTTGAGTTGTTCAGGGGTGGATTCAAACTTGGGATGTACTGTTGGAAGTGATTGGATTTCATAGATTATTGTCTCATTGGATAGCATTTTATTTTGACTCAGTTCTTGAGTGGATTTATATTTCCTTTATTAGGGTTTTGTTAGCACTTTCATACATTACTTTACTGATATTTTTTTTACATTTTTTCCCATTTTTGAACTTCATGAACCCAAGCTATTAGTTATCAGAAACCATTTATTTAGACAAATGAGAAGATTTGGCAAACAATGAGTTGTTCTAATCAGCTATCCCCCATTTTTGGTGCAAATAATGAAGTCCATGAAGTCAAGGTAATTAAAGAATGGTATTCAACAAATGTTCTGAGTGCACACACTAGGATACAAATCATTATTTTGGTGACTTCATATCAAAAAGACAAACCAAAAAGACTGCAAAATGAAAACCTTGTGAGATCTTCAAATCACTGCACACGCACTTACACAGGTGTCTATCTACTTCACCCATTGTCTGGTGTTATACTGTGTGATATTTAGATAAGAAAAAACAGGATGTTTCTGCCTACCAGAAAAGAAAACTCATGCTTTATGTCCTATAAACTACTTGAAGTTTTATATTTCTTGTGGTAACTTTCGTGATCCTTTAATGTCATGATCTGAACTCCTTTCTGCCTCCTTTCTTAAAGCGATTGGGATTGCCGCAAACTATGACAATGGATTGGCAAGGTGCTCCTGCAAGCCCAAGCTCTTATAGTATAAAGAAGATTCTACGCCTTGAACTTCCACTTGACAACTACCCTAATGTATGATTTTGCCTTTCCATTTTGTGTTTTTATCACACTAGGCTTTCTAAATAGAAAGAAAAAGCTTTGTTTAGGGAAATTATACTTTAGCCAATGTATAATTGGGTCATCACTGTCCATTGAAATGATAGCTGCTGATGGAAGAGGGACTGGAGCCCGCCTTAGGGATCATTCCTAGTGGATCCATTTTCTCTCTATTGCTATCAATCATTTCAATGGACAGTGATGGCTAAATTTTCAATGGTTTTTTAATAGTCCACTTGGTTGTAGTGTGCTTTTACCTTAATTTACTTAATGCCTGTTCATTTGGAACTGACAAACTACTTCTGGTTGTTCCAGTTCAATTTTGTTGGTCGTCTGTTAGGGCCCAGGGGCAATTCACTTAAAAGGGTTGAAGCATCAACAGGGTGTCGAGTTTACATCAGAGGCAAAGGATCAATAAAGGATTCCGAAAAGGTAAGGCAAAATTTGCTGCATATCTATACTGATTGCTGGTTCTCTTCTAGTGTTGAAATATCCTAGTTTCAATGTATGGCTTGGCAATGGAAATTGTTCATGGCATGAAAAAATCAAGTATTTTTTTCAGTAGGGATGAGGAGTCATTACTTGCATTCATAGAAAAAACGGGCATTTTTCTGAATAAAAGAGCATAAACTTAATATTGGAACTTCTATAAAAAGAGCTCTATGTGTGGGTAGTTATCTCATATTTTCGAAAACAAGTGCCGTTTATGTAACTTGGAAAGGGTAAATTAAAATTTTGTTGTATTAAAAAACAAATACATTGAGGGCATCTCCATCCCATTGAAATGGGCAATGATGGAGAGAGAGTGGGACATGTAAGAACAGGACATGACCCCAATGGTGTGTCCCACTCTGCATCACCTTCAACCAATTAATTGGACAAGGATCATCCTGATAGACTGTTATTTTCATAGGGGAAAAGTTTATATAGAGCCGAGGCTCTAAACAATCAAATTCGAGCCTACCTCAAAACTTTCACTAGAAGAGGTTGTTTTGATGCCCAAATATTCTCAAATTGATCATCTCGACATCAAGAAGAATGGACATGAGAAAAAAATGGATTTCAAGTTTTGGAAATAGTATATTTTGTACCTCATTTTTGGAACGTCAATTTTAAAGATTTTCAAGTTTTCATAGATCTCTCGATCTACACTATTTTTGAAGCTTTAAACTTTATAAATAAATATGAAAATATATTTTAAGGCTATCAAAAAGATTTTCAGTATTGAAACCACATTTCTCGACACTATTTGAAGGTAGGCTCTAATTGGATTGTTTAGAGCCTAGGCTCTATACAAACCGCACCTTTTTCATAGTCCACTTGACTATAGCATACTTACCCCTATACGTCCCCCTTGGAAAGGTTGGGATTGTTCTGGTAGATCTCATCCTCTTTTAGGCAGGGTTCTGGATGCATTTGCAGCTAAGATAGTTTTGTTTTTTTTTTTTGAGATTGTAAAACGGCTAAGATAGTCTTTCTAGATATAGGCCTTATTTACAAATACTGGAAGGTGCTTTGTCCACTGTATTTATTTTTTTATATTTTTTTTCTTGTCCTCATTTTCGTAGTGGATTGAGTTTCATGTGGAAAGTGTCATTCTCTCGATAATTCGTCTGTGATTTCTTTGTACATGAACCTCATAGGAAATTTAGTAAGATATCATGCATAGGTTGAGACCTTCCCTTGCCATCACACAGTGCAAACAGATGAAGATAATGGCTCTAAAGTTTATCACGCTTTCGGGTGTAATCACGCTGTCTAGTGTCTATCATGTATGGATATAAATAATCATGCATCGTACCTTGTATTTTATGTGTTGGTTGCTTCACAAAAAATTCACAAGTAACAAACTTTATCCAGTTTTATGTGAAGAATGTTTGGAATGGTTGCAGAGACGTAGCATCTCTGAATCATGGTTAACCGGTTATATTGCAATACTTATAATCGATTGGTCTTCTGAATTATACTGTTGTCAATGCCAGTTCTAAGCATGCTTTGACTTTGCACACACAATTGTGTGATTACTTCTCAACAAATGTGATTATTTTCACATAATAAGATTTATTCTCCAGATACTGGGATGATAAATCTCTCTCTATATATCTATCTCATACATATCTATGTGGTGATGGATTGAATTCATACTCTGAAAATGGTTAGTCTACATAACAAAGTCAATAGATGTCTTGATAAGTGAAGGCCTGAATGGTACTTTGGAGAAGGGGAACTTTGAAAAGAAGGCCAATTTGAGTAACTTATCCTCGGTGAATGGGTCAATTCTAGCATCAAAGCAAGTGTTGATCGGTGTATAATGTTAATGGTGTTCTGTGCTCGTTGATATACATAACTCAGTCATGGCATCACATGACAATTGGCAAGAACTATGTTCAATCTGGTGTTCAATATTTTCAAACCTTTCTTATAAAATTTTCAAATATTTGCCAGGTTGGATGATGTACACAACATAGAAATACATGACTCTGTGCAACTATACACAATAGGTATTCAACCTGTGTGTGTGTTCACAAGTTGGTAGATGTTTCCTTTTTTGGGTGGCTGACTGGTAAAGTGAGAAAATATATGATTGACTTCATTGATTCAAGAAGTGGTCCACCCAGTGCCTAGGCAGCCGCCTAGGCGTGATGGGGGGCCTGGGCAGGTCAACTAGGTGGGCGCCTAGGGTACTTGGGCAGGCACCCAAAGGACTGCGCCCGATTAGGTGAAAAAATACCCATCGGTATCTTTGGAGTTTTTTTTGTTCGGATTATAAAAAAGGTGTAGTTTGCATACGGATGCATCCGTAGGTGTAGAGGTAAGATGCACCTTCAAATCTTATCATGGTATATAATTTTGATGTAAAATGTTCTTAGGATTATATCAAAATGTATTTTTATATCTAATTATAAAATTTTAAATTTCAAAAATGGTTAAAATCAAGTAGATCTATAAACATATGAAAATCTGGAAAATGGACGGTGTAGATAATATGTTGTAAAATACACTTTCTGAGACTTAAAAATCTTTTTATTTTTCATCGTCATACATCTCGATGTCGAGATGATCAATCGAAAGGTTTTTCAACATTAAAACTACCTTTTCCAATGGATTTTTGAGGGGCATCTATAGTTCTACATTATAAGGTAGCATCCTTATATAAACTTTTTCCTTATAAAAAATGCATGAATATGCATATTTTGTACAAAATATGTACATAAAACAGGGCTACTGGACACCATTTGTTCCCTTTTGAACCTAGGCTGCCCAAATTCTAGGTGGCGGCCCGGTGGTTTTTGGAACTTTGATTGACTTATGGTCTGATTGATGGTATGGCTCTTGATAGAGTACGATAGTGGAACATGATTCGTGTAGCTGATCCCAAGTAGTTCGGACAAGGCTCCGATGATCATGATGATGATGAGTGGTAGGAATTAAACTTAGGATATAGTGTTGCAGTTGTCAATAACTAACAAATCAAGCTCAAGCCCATTTTCTAAGTACCTATACTATTTTATACAAAATCTATTGGACTAAGAAAGACGACTTCCCTCAAATGGATTCAAACTTAGTGGAACATCAGATGCATGCCACAATTGATGTCGGTTTGGTGTTAGTTTTTGTTTTGTACTTGGTCAAGGCATTTCAGTTGGAATTTTAGTTGAATCAACTTCTTGTCTTGATTAAATTGCTTATGCATGTGTGCATACATAGAATACTTAATACAATGCGATTATTACCGATGCTCTCTCTTTTCTGAAAGACTTATTCATATGGCTTTCTTGCTACATTTCTCTTCAAGGAAGAAAAATTGAAAGGAAGACCAGGGTATGAGCATCTTAATGAGCCACTGCACATATTAATCGAGGCTGAGTTACCTGTTGATATTATTGATTCAAGGCTGAGACAGGCTCGTGAGATCATAGAAGAATTGCTGAAACCTGTGGTATGAAATTTATAATCAAAATTTTCATTCATAGTCTTTGTTGTCATGTCATTTAGCAATAACACATGAATATCCATCGAATTCTATTCATCTGGAAAAAGTTTATGCTTACTCAATTAGTCTCCTGATTATTAATCGGCATTTTACTTTCTATTCTTTACTATATTGATCTCATTGTGACTACTTTATCAAATGAACGACCTATGAACTCTTCCCCATCTTTCTCTCTCTCAAACCCTGTTCTTGGTGTTTTTGAAGGATGAGTCTCAGGACCATTACAAGAGGCAGCAACTGCGTGAGTTGGCATTCTTGAACTCAACATTCAGAGAAGATAGCCCCTGCCCAAGCGGCAGCTTATCTCCCTTCAATAACAGTGGTATGAAACGAGCAAAGACGGGTCGGTAAACATCCTCATTTCCTTTTTGGTGAATGCAACTCCACAATGGCTACGCCCTTAGCTTTTCTCAACAGCTGAAATCTCACTGCGAGTAAGTCTCACCCTTTGTACTGGATCCAACCATGGCTAGAGGTCTTGTCAAGCTGGTCAAAATGGAAAGTAGAATTTCGAATGAGATGGAAATTTCTTTTTGGCTGGTGACGTTTTTCATCTTCTACTAAAAATGTTGGTTTTTGTTAGGAAAAGGAAATGAGCAAACTGTAAGAAGAACGATGCGAGGAATAGAGATCGATATATAGCATCTTAGATAGTGAATTTGAGCTTTTGTGTGAGTTATTGTTTCATAGTCTTAAAATATTGTTTGATTGTATTATTTGTTTTGTAGAGACTCTGTTTCTTTTGTACATGGAACTTTTTAAGGGTTCCCCGGTCTGCACGGGGTGCCAGAGAGCCATTGGTTTTAAGAAATTTTTTGAGAGTTTATCTCAAAACTAAATGACTTCCACAGGACTGTCGTGAGGCACAGAGATATGCATGTGTTGTTTGTGTGTGTGTAGTTATATGGACAAGTGAATGCTTATCAGAAAAGTATTTGATGAGTTGGTTGACACACCTTGATTTTCGAAAGATGTAGGACCCAAAGCTCATCCCAAATCACTATAAATCCATTTCCGCATCAGACCCATAGTGTTTGGTGCTCACATCAGACCCATAGTGTTTGGTGCTCGAAAAATGGTGCAGATCTTATGATCATTGAAATTTAAGGTGGACAGCCTCAAAAATAGTACAAAAAAACCTTACCCTTATAAGTATATTGACAATGCTTGTTTATCTTTGTGTATGAATACATGTTTATATTA